ACCAAAGGTTCAAGGGCGGCTTCTTTACTATCTAACAGTCTAACTTAACTCACTTACGCTATTTCAAACATAATCTAAAGGTTCTTTCTTGTTTTTCTTCTGTCTGTTTCTTCCTCCTCCACACTTTATATATTAGGTGTCATATTCTGTACTCTTTGTGTATCTCTTGACTGACTTTTAGGATAGTTAATTTAATTTTGCATTTGCTTAGTAATTAATTGGTGTACTTCCTTTACTGTTATTTTATTTTCTCTGGTGACAGCTATTTAGCCTTAGGAGCACTTCCATCTAGAGCAGTCCCTTTAAAATACACTGTAGAGACAATTTGTAGGTGATAAATTCTCTCAACTTCTGCTTATCTGTAAATTGTTTACTCCCATCTTCAATTTTAAATGATAATCTTGGCAGGTAGAGTATTCTTTGTTTGAGGCCTTTCTGTTTCATTGCATTGAATATATCGTGCCACTCCTTTCTGGCCTGTAAGATTTCTGCTGAGAAGTCTGATGACAGCCTGATGGGTTTTTCTTTGAATGTGATCTTATTTTTCTGCTTTTAATAGTCTATCCTTGTCCTTGATCTTTGCCATTTTAATTATTATATATCTTGGTGTTGTCTTCATTGGTTCCCTTGTGTTGGGAGATCTATGCACTTCCATGGCCTGAGAGACTATTTCCTTCCTCAGATTGGGGAAGTTTTCAGTAATTGTTTCCTCAAAGAGACTTTCTGTCTCTCTTCTTCTGGTACCCCTGTAATGTGAATATTGTCCCGTTTGGATTGGTCACACAGTTTTCTTATTATCCTTTCATTCCTAGAGATCCTTTTTTCTCTCTCTGCCTTGGCTTCTTTGTATTCCTGTTCTCTAATTTCTGTTTCACTTACCATCTGCTATACCTCCTCTAATCTGCTTTTAAATCCCTCCATTGTATGTTTCATTTCAGAAATACTCTATTTTTCCAGTTTTCTATATCTTTCTTGATATTCTCTCTGAGATCTTGAATATATTTCTGTGGCTCCATGAGCATGTTTATGATTTTTAATTTGAAACCTTTATCAAGAAGATTGGTGATTTCATTTTCACCTAGCCCTCTTTCTCATGTTTGAGGGATTTGGGTTTGTACATGATATTGTTGCTGTTTTATATTTCTGATGACTACCATGGAATAATAACTTTGTGTAGGTGGCACCCTCTAGTGCCCCAAAGGTCTACTCTCTGGAGCTGCTCAGCCCTTGGAGTGACGGTGGGGTCGCAGGCAAGCAGCACTGGTACCTGCTGGGAGGAAAAACCTCTTTCCTGCTTCCCAGCAGCAGTGCCTGGCTCCACTGCTGGGGCCAGTGGGCCAAGTGTGCAGGGAGGAGCCTCTGTACTACACTCATGTAGCTGCTATAGTCAGGGCCCGCCTCTGGCTGGCCTGGCATGATGGCAGGTTCAGCAGGTGTGTGGACTGGTGCCTGCAGGGAGGAAGGAGCGGCAGGCTCCATATTGCAGTGGGAGGCCTTGGTGCTGTGTTGCCAGCCAGGGGGTTAGAGCTCCTGAAACTCCTGAAAGTTCCCAACCTGCTGGGCTGAGTGTGCCAGGCCAATTGTGTCCACCTGTCCTTTCTCCTAGCAGGAAGCTCTGTGTAATCCCTGCCCCTTTAGCAGCCCCTCGCTGTTGGGAAGTCTTTCACAGTGCCTGCCTTTCTTTTTTCCCAGCACGGCCTGCCATGGGTACCTGTTCTCCACATGCCACGGGAATCTCAGTCTCGGAGTATTCTGCCTGTCTGATTTCCAACCCCTCTAAACTCCAGAGCAGCATGTAATGTGGGTTCATGCTCCCGAAGCATATCTCCAGGGGTGGGTGTTTAGCAGTCATGGGCTTCTACTCCCTCCCCACTCCATTTCTCTTCCTCCTGCCTGTGAGCTGGGATGGGGGAAGGGCTTGGTCCCGCCAGATCACAGCTTTGCTTCTTTACCCTTTTCTGTGAGGTTTTCCCCTTATTTAGGCCGTCTGTAGCAATCTTCAGGTTGTTCTTCCAGGATTAGTTGGATTTGCTGTTATTTCCATGTTATATGTGGTTTTTGGAAGAGGTTTCTTCCTCACTTCTCATGCTGCCATCTTCTTCTGCTGCTCTATTGAACGGTTTCTACAAGGGGATGATGTGATCAGATTGGCAGTCTTAAAATCTATCGGATTGCTGTGTGGAGAATGGTTTGGGAGGGGATCCGAAGGAAATGACTAATTGGACATAGAGGCATTAAGAGCCTCCAGCTTGTGGGATATATTGGGTAGTGGTGCCATTCACCATGCTAGGGTATCCTGGGAGAGGAGCAGCTTTGGGGGAGAAATCAGGAAGTTCGTTTTAGATGTGTATATGGAACATGGAGTGCCTGTGAGTCATAGAAATGGAGCCGTCATGGAGGCAGTTTATGTAAGGCTCTGGATGTCAGAAGCAGGTCTGGGCTAGAGGCGTATATTTGGAAGTCCTGAGCTTAGAAATGGTAATGAAGTTAGGGGACTGAATGAGGGCACCCAGAGAAACCAGAGTTCCGTCAGACTTTGGTAATTCTTCCAATCCTAACTTAGTCATCACTTCTGCAGAGCCTCCCTGCCACCTAAATAAGGTCAGTTACTGCTTCTCTGTTACTTATTTACATTATGTTCAGTATATCATATCGTAATTGATTGTTTTTATGTCTCAGATGTGAGCCCTTACAAGTAGGTGTGTTGTGTGCCCAGTTTATGGCTCAGTACCAGGCCTTTAGTAGGCTCCCAGTAAATGCTGCTCAAATGAATGGAATAGAAGTGATGTGGCCCTTGGACCTTGGTGATATTTACAACCCAAGTAGTAAAGAGTGTGACAAGGTCTAACATACCAGAAATCCCCTTGAAAATTCATCCCAAACAATGGGAAAACGGTGCTTACTTGGTACACATTTGCTTTCTGGTATGTACACATTCTGTTGGTCTAGCTGTTTTTTGAACTGAGGAAGACACTAATTCTTCAGCTAACCATGTCACAAAAGGAGAGCTAGAATGTCTGCCCTCAGTGCTGTGGGCAAATGTGTGTGGTCTGTGAGAAATGTGTTATCAAGAGCTGGTAAACATTGTTCTGACAGAAGCCCACACAAAAGAGAGCCGGGAATGATTAAATCAAAGAACACCATATGTGACAGGATTTGCACAGTCAAATCACATTCCACACGCTCCTAGGGCTCCAGAAAAATCAGATGACAATTCTCAAATTAGCCATCTGCTGCTCTGCTCTCTGTTACCTCTTCCAGTAAAAAATGGGGGAGAGAGGGAGGGAGGGAGGGTTGGTAATATTTTATGAATGTTTACTTGGAAGCCTCAGCATATGTTCTCACAGAGAACATGAACTGAGGCCAGAGATGACATGGTGGTGAAGGGTTCAATCCTTAGCCACACTTGGGTCAGATACTAACTTATCACATAGTACAGCCTATGATCTAAAGCAAATCGTCTAACATTTTGAATCCTCAAATTGCTTCTCTCTAAATGGTGATGGTGGGTGGTGAGGTTTGAATTTGGGAGAGGGAGCCTAAGATTCCATATAGCTTCCCTGAGGGGTAGGTAGCTCTGAGGAGGAGATGTGACATTTGCAAAGCATTTAGCACAGTTAGCTGATATGTAGTAACTGTTAAATAAGTGGCAGCTAATTGGAGCAATAATGGTAGATTAATAGAGGCAACTGAGGCATATTATGTTTGGGAAAGAGATATAGGGTCTGTTTCTATTTTATTTTGTTTTTGATATATAATAAAATTTGAAAAATATACTGGTTTAAAATTTTTATTTGTAAACTGGATTTCCACCTTTTAACATCCATATGAGTGCATATTCTAAATGGCAGTTAAGCCATTTAGTACAGAGGTACGTTGCCCAGAATGATTATTGTCAGAGAGGTGAGTGGTTTTTTTACTATCTCCATGACCTGCTCTGGGTTCATCAAAATACAACCAAATATACCTCTCTGTACCATTATTTATGATGGAATATTTTTCATTTTAAAAACATAAAGTTCAAATTAGAGTGAATACTTGAAATTAGAGTGAATAATACAATGAAACTACATATTCAGTCATCTAGACTCAAAAGTTATCAAGATTCTGCCATGAATTTTAGAAAAGAACTGTTTTCTAAAGTACTTTAAAACAAACTATAGATATCAGTTGTTTCACTTTTACACATTTCAGCATACCTCTCTAAAAAAATACACATTTTCTAGCATAATCACATTCCCATTATTATAATGAATTATATTATGATAGATATTAAATTTTGTCTCCATCTCTCTACAATACACACACACACACACACACATCAAAACTGTGCCTGTCACTCTGAGTATGCAAAACAAAATGTGCTGACACTAGTGGAGATTTGGAGTTACCAAATTTTTTTGGGAGGGGGGAGGGAGTAGTAGTGGTTGCAGAAAAGCAGAATAAGAATCTGTTTTAGTGAACAGACGTTACCCTTATTTGGCCCATTTCCATCTAGATTTGAATCACATAGCTCCTGATGAACAAGGGTGGGGATAGAAAGTGTGATGGACTGAATAGGTAGAGGAGCCCTTACAACAACTGCCGGCTGTTTTCCTTATTCACCACTCCTTGAACATCTATTTATGATACCAAAAATGTTTCCTTTACTCCCACACCCTTTCTAGAAATTTTTAGAAATAATTAATAACCTAAAAATACTTAGTGTTCTATGCCATAAATTTAGATTTGAACCTTGATTCCTTGGAATATTTTTAAACTCTATGATTATGTCTCAAGAGACTCCTTGGTTATATAAATCATCATAATTGTTTAATTGTACAAATAGCCCTTAAGCCAAGCAAAAATACTTCCAAATTTAGGCAACTTCAAAAGCCATCCATTATACAGCAGTACTTGTGGGAAGAAAAAGTATTATATTCGCTACAATGCCACGTGTCCTCTAATGCCTGCTCTGATTGTTCGTGCACATAAACCTCAGACTTGCTGCCTGTGACTAGCGGTGTTGGAGGGTGGTGGAATCTGTTGCCATGGCAGAAGGAAAAGAAGAGAGAAAAAGGCAAAGAAGAAAAGCTGACATCTGGTTGATGGAACCTTCTTTTGCCCCCAACAGTTCTGCCACAGAAAGGGATGAATGGCTAGAAGCAATTTCCAGGTCAATAGAAGAGTATGCCAAGAAAAGAATCACGTTCTTCCCAAGTAGGAGTCTCGATGAGGTATTGTCTTTTCCTTACTTTTTTTTTCCCAGTGCATTTCAAACAGTTTTACCTAACTTTTCCCAGGGGTTTAGGAGAGCAACATGTGTTGCACAGTAAGATTGGAGGTATATATGTATTTTCAGAGCTAGCTGTTTATCCAGTTAATGTCCCACTGCAAGTTTAGGATGGCATATAGCCCACTGGTAATTTTTTCTAGTTCTGAAACTTCACTGTAGATTTAGAAAATTGAGTACAGTTTCAGAAAGAAACTAATCGGCTGTCAATGCACTATCAGGCATTTTTTAAAGTTAATTTTGCATTAGAGAATTGTTAGAATGTAGCTAATTTATATCCTGAGAACATGAAAATATAGTAGTCCATTTTTCATCCCACATCCTTAATGATACCATCAGCACTGTGAGCTGCCATTGCCAAATAAAATGGCTCGGTTCTGTAAGCATTCAGTGTGCCTGGGTATAATCAGAAGTCATTCTTCCACAGGCTGACTCCGAGGATAAAGAGGAAGTTAGTCCTCTTGGATCAAAGGCTCCCATCTGGATTCCTGATACCAGAGCCACAATGTGTATGATCTGCACAAGTGAATTTACTCTGACCTGGAGACGGCATCATTGCCGGGCCTGTGGAAAGGTTGGAGAGGATAAACTCATTTCTGTTGTGATTTTTAATAGCCAGGCTGTATGTAGTGAGGAAGTATGTTTGCCTTTGCAAACCATTGTATGGGGTGGAGGGTGGGGGAGCAATGATACTAATCATGGATATTTTCTCTAAGTATTTAGTCACTGGGGCAGTCTTGTTACAGAACTTACCCCCACCTATCCCAAGGTTACCATGGAATGTCAATACTAGGCAATTTTCATTAAAAAAAATTTTTTTTCCAATTAAATAGATTTTCATGTTTATAGATATTTAAATCGCATTTATCTAGATTCTAAGTAGTTCATAGGGGGAAGTGTTGAGGTTATCACCAGTGGTGTTTCTAAGTCTCCAAGACCTCATTAGTAAAATGAGCATAGTAGTAATGACATCAGAGTTATGGTCAAGGTTAAGCAAAGTCTTGGTTGGAGAATATTTAGCACAGGGCAGACACCTGGCAGAGCCGCAGAAAAGGTGGTCATGGTTGTCATGTTGATGGTGATAATAGATACAGCCAACATAGGACGTCGTGCACAGCAGGCCCTGTTCTAAATATTCTGCACATACTAACTCTTTTAGTATACTATTTTACATGGTAAGCACTCAGTAATAATCTGTGGTCCCTTCATGTGTGGTACTGTGTGTGGATTCACTACATGCCTGAACTCCAGAGAGTTGTTGAGATTCAGGAATAAAAGATTTTTGAAAAGTAGACAGCACTATAAATCATGACATACCTGATGGTTTGGTACAAAGGTTATTCTAAATGAAATAATTCCGATGTGTTTTCAGATTGTATGCCAAGCTTGTTCATCAAATAAGTATGGCTTAGATTACCTGAAAAATCAACCAGCAAGAGTATGTGAACATTGTTTCCAAGAACTGCAGAAATTAGGTAATATATAAGTGAAGGTTTAACTGAAAATTTCTATATTTCCCAAATGCTTTCAAACAGCCTTCTGAGAGAATCATCTAAGACACATTAGTAATATGATTGGTGATACCCATCTCAAAATATTAAGTATTTTGTTTAACTCATTTTGTGGTATAAGTTAGTCAAGAGGGTGAGCTGAAATTTATTTTTACTCTGAAAATGGTTTTGCTAAGAATACTAATTGTAGAAATGTACTTACAGGATGCAGTTACAAGGGAACTGTAACACTGAGGCAATTTTGAAGTTTAGTTTCACAATTGCGTGCTCATTACTAGTCATTTTTGTCTTCTACGAGGTAATTCTCTATGGACATGTGCTTGATGGCACTATGTTAACCTAATTCTAATCACTTGGACTGATTCAGTGAGGTTTCTTTCTACATGTAAATGTGCAACTTTTCACCAAAAACAAAATGATAAATCATATCTGCCACACATTATTTGCACGTCTTCATTCCTATAGTTAAGATGAATGAGCTAGCAGGACCTGCACAGGACTATAGTTTGGGAAGAGATCGTTAGTTAAATTTCTGAAACCAAAGGATCTAAGTTTTTAAAAGATTATCCTTCATTTTCATGAAGAATAACTTATTATCAGCAATTGAGAATATCTGTATGAATAAAACTAGATAACATGCTATTTTAGAGTCCATATTTATAGAGAAACAGCTATTTTCTGTATACATTTTGCAAGAAGACACATCATTTAATCCTTTACCAGTTTATGTTCCTCCCTTTGTTCTCTGGGCATACATTCAATTTTGACTTCTCCCTCATCAGCCATACCCATTTAGTCAGCAAAACTTGTCAAATATATCTGTGAGAACCTGTCTTTCTCTTGATTTCTTCATCTCAGCCCTAATAAGGCTTTCATAATCTTTCAGCAGAACTACTGTAATAATTTCCTAACGGGTTTTCTTGCTGCAAATTCTCCTTCCTACTGGCAGATTTATTTTTCTAAATTCAGTTTGCTCATTTCTAAATTTAGTCACTCCCTGAGCTAAAGGCCTTTGATTTCCCACTGCCTAAACAATAGTCCAGGTTCCTTAGAAGTGGCCTTTTTTTCCCCCAGCTTCATTATTCTCCAGATAGGTGATCTAATTTCATAATTCTCTGCTTTTGCTTATGCTGACTTCTCTTCATGGAGTGTTCCTATACGTGTTTGCTTCGCAAACTCCTACTTACTTAATGGCCAACTCAAACGTTTTTCTCTTCTTAGCTTTCCCTGAACCTCTGCAGTCAAAAGGAATTGCAGCATCTGCTTTGTTCATTGTAATACTATTCTGGCATGTTGTTAGATTCTTTTTTTTTAATCAGGAGGAAAGTGTTTTCAATGTATTTTTTAAAGTTGGTAGTACCTTAACATGTTTCACAATTCTGAAGGTGCAAAAGAGCAATGCTTTCACATTGTGTGCAGTTGAAAAAGCATAAAATCATAGACGGTGGAAAGTCGTCCTCCTATTCAACCTCCCGCCATTCATCTTCCTTGCCCAGGCACCTCCGTGTCTTCAGTTTCTTAAGTATCCTTCCATGGATATTTTATGGAACAATGTTTACTGATTTGAATTAAATTGACTTGCAGAAGACTTACCATTTGCTACATTAGTGCACCTGATTTGTTTTAGATCGCCAGCATTCTCCTAAGATCGGATCTCCTGGAAATCACAAATCTTCAAGTGCCTTATCATCAGTCTTACATAGTATTCCATCAGGGAGGAAACAGAAAAAAATCCCAGCAGCTCTCAAAGAAGTAAGTGTTTCCATTAAACTTATAGCCTGATAGAGGCTGAATTATTCATAGGCATAGAATACATTGTTTTTCTTTCATAAAGTAAGGTGTCATTTTCCACTACTATTAATTCATACATTTTAATACTGGTGGTAAATTGTGGCTGGTGCCTCAGTCTCTTGCTTGGTCTCCCATATGACCTGAGTCATTTAGAAAATGGCTGTTGAAAGGTTATGGGGACATTTTGTAACAATGTTGGAAAGTAAAGATAATTCAGACACATGTAAATTTTTTAAATTACTTTGAGGAGACCTCCTTACCAGAAGAAGTCTGTAATAGTCTGGGCATTATGTTAGCATTTACTGATCTGCATGCATGCAGTGGTTGGTTTTATATACAGTGGATACCACTGATAGTAGGTTGTCTTTCCTTTACACTTAAGTTTTAATTTAAAAGTGGTAATAGCCTAGACAGTTAGACCTGCCAGTGGAGTACTCGATAGACACTGATATCCTATCCCAGTTCCTCAAATTCAAGTGTGCAGTCAGCCAATGTCAGGGACCATACAGCATTGTAGTTCTGGCCAGCCTTATTTTCATGAGTTCATTAACTAGTTCCGTCTGTGCTAATTTTTTTTGCCAACAGAACAGAGTTTTACATTTTTTTCTCTTGCTGAGTTACTGTGGAGGTGTTCTGTCCTGGAAAGTGGAAGCAAACAAGTCTAAAAAATTGACCAAGATCATGTTTCTTTTGTAAAGTTGGGTGTATCCTTTCGTGGCAGTTGAAATACTAGGAAGTGATTTATAGCCAATCGCATGAAATAGTAAGGATAGAACTCAAAGTTCTAATTGCCATGTGTCATTTGGAACTAGTAAAGCCAATTTACTGAGCACCTCTCAACTATCTCTTCCATCACTTAGATCCTGAATCTGATCTCCTTTCAAAACTTTAAGGTTCTTAACTGAAATCTTACTCATCTCCCTGTAATTTTTTACCTCTCCGTGCTGAATTCATAGTTTACAAATACAATTATTACCTTTGCTCCCCTTTTCAGTCTAGACTCCCCAGCACTGGTTACAAAACTATAGTGTAGACTAGATTTAACCTGGAGTCCAATCCCATTTTGTGTATCTCGCCAAGAAGCCATACAAACAGGCCTTCCACTTTCAAACCTCTACTTCCTGACAGGAGCCATTTCTTCCTTTACTGGTTTTCAAAATGTCCAGAGAAGCAACAGCACCTCCTGGGAACATAATAGAAACACAAATTCTTAGGCCCCGCACAAGGTCTGTAGAATCGGAAACTTTAACAAGCATCTTCAGTGGCTCAGATATACTAAAGCTTGGGACCACTGCTTGCTCCTTTATCGTCAGTTTGGGAAATCAGTTTATCCAGTTTAGTGCTATGGAAGTCAAAATACTCCCCTCGGGAAAGTGTATTTTGTTTTTGTTTTTTTGAGGGAGGTGGAATTCATGTAACATTATAATAAAGCATTTTGAAGTATACACTTCAGTGGTATTTAGTGTATTCATAATTTAGTACAACTGCTATATTGCTCTAGTGTCAAAACTTTTCCATCACACCATAAAAACACCCTGTACCTCCTTCCCCATCCCCACCACTCCCTGATAACCACTAATCTGTGTTCTGTCTCTGTGTACTTGCCTATTCTGGCTGTACCATACAAAGGGGTCAGTTATAAGTATGAGACCTTTTGTGTCTGGCTTCTTTCACTTAGCACAGTGTTTTTGAGCTTATAGTAAGTACCAACTTACTTTTTATGTCTGGATAATACTCCATTGTATATACTGCCATTTATCCACCCATGGGTTGAGGGGCATTTGGTTTATTTCTACCTTTTGGCTATTATAATGCCGCTGTACATGTTTGTGTACAAATTTCCCTGTAGACATATTTCCATTTGTCTTGGGTATATATCTAGGAGTGGAATTGCTTGGTTATATGGTTAATTCAGTGTTTAACTTTTTGAGGAATTGGGAAGTTCTGTTCTTATTCCAGTAATGATCAACATTTTTAAAAACTCCTCTGTTTTAGAATTACAGTCAGAGCCTTAGTACCTTCAGTAATAGCAGGCTGTGTCTCTTGAGTTGGGTTTGATTTATATTCTCAATAACCAAATCATTGGAAGCAATATTTTATAATCAGGCGATTAAGCTGGTTAACATCAATTTTATTATCAAGATAATAGAGGACTATGTATGTATGACTATTCAGTATTATGATTCATCTTATATGGCTAATAAACTAATTCCAAAATATTAGAAAAGAGGAATGTACAAAATATTTTGAGCAATGATAATAACAATATAAATGCATTGTAGTATCCAAATATAAATACATTTTAAGTGAAATCCCATTTGAATATAAACATTCTAGTTTTTTTAAAAACTAGCTGGCAACCTTACACAGAATGTTATTACTTTATAAAAATTTACTTGCACCTAATCAACAAATATTTCCAATTTAACATTATTAAATTTCTGAAATGTTATGTTATTATGGTCATTGCTTTCAGCACCAAGGATCTAAAACAATTTTGTTATTTTAAATTTTGTGTTTTGTCTGAACATCATTAAACTATGTATGGGGTTTGCTTTTATAGGTATCAGCAAACACAGAAGATTCTTCTATGAGTGGCTACTTGTACAGATCAAAGGGCAATAAAAAACCTTGGAAACACTTGTGGTTTGTCATAAAAAATAAAGTGCTATATACATATGCCGCAAGTGAGGTAAGATCTGAAATCTAAGGATGAGTAATTTTGGGGTCTTGTTTTATCATGCCAGCTGGAAATAATTACAGTATTTGTTTAATCTCTTTGTTTTGGACATGTTTCTTGCTTTGCTTTTGGAGAGGGAGGTGGCGGTCCTGTTATTTTTAATGTAAAAAGTGGCCTTGCTTTGTACCTAGAGAGCTCTTACTCAAAAATGTTAGGAATTTTCTATGGTTTTAAAATACAAGTGTTTGGTGTCATGTGACTACTAGTTCAGTAAAGGCAGAGCTTCCTATCCTTTCTGCCCAGCTCCCTTGCGTGACTCTCCCTTGACTGTCCCCAGATTGTACTGATCAGGCATCAGTGTAAATCAGATAGACTTTGCTGGCTGTTTACTCTAAAACTGCCCTTTCCTCCTCTTGATCACCCTGTGTTCCAGCGTCTTATGAAAACCACTGCTCTAGGAGCCAAACTTTCCCTTAGTGAGACAGAGTAAACCACCTATCTTTCTGAGCTATGTTTTCTATATCCATAAAATGAAAGTTACATAATTACCTTCTATGGCTGTAGGGAAATATAATGTGAAATTTAGTGGATATTTGGCTACCAAAATACCTGTTTTTATTGGAAACGGTCTAGCACAGTGTCTGATTCTTGGGGTATGTAGGGAGGGGCAGTTCAAAAAATATTGTTGAATAAATGAAAAATGAATAGGTTGCCAGAATTATCGTTTTATGTATGTATATATAAAATTAAATTAGAGCTATGTATATTAAGAGCTCACAAATCTTAATTTTGTATCATTTTAAAAACTCATCTTCCTTTGTGTCTTTAAATTAGGACGTGGCAGCTTTGGAGAGTCAACCTTTACTAGGATTCACTGTCACTCAAGTCAAAGATGAGAATTCAGAGTCTAGAGTATTTCAGTTATTGCACAAAAACATGTTATTTTATGTATTCAAAGCAGATGATGCTCACTCAGCTCAGAAGTAAGTAACTTAGACATCTTTTTTATTTTATACATGAGATTTCAAGTTGTTACTTTAAATGACTGACTTTAAAATTACCTACATTCATGCATGGGGATAACTAAGAATTTAAAGATCCAAATAAAAAAGATTAACATATTTTTCAAACTCTTTGGAATTGTTTAAAAGATAGGTAAGAGTATCTGGAATATTTTCAGGGGGCAGAGAGGAAAAGAAAACAGGTAGCTCTGTCCAAAATATTTTGTCTACACGTGACTTCTAAGGAAGCAGCCTGATTGCTGCTCTGCTGAAAGGAATGGAAGGAGGTATTTGACCTCTCCTTCAACAAGGGAAAGAATCTTCCCTTCAAACATTCCAGGACCTTGGCGATCCAGTGATTCACTTGTGCCGTGGAACAGCAGGAGTTCAAGCAGCTGCTTGCAAACTTACTTCTTTGGAGAAAAGGTCAAACACATTAAGAGGGTGCCATGCTGTTCCCAATGACTGAACAGAAAGAAATGGGTATCATTTAAGATGGTAAAGGCTGAAACAATCTCTTCAAAATTCCAACAGGAGTATTTATTTAAATGTCATGAGGTTGCTTAACAGAGAGAAGCATATCTCTGTGAAATCAAGGTCCTTTCTGAACAAAACCTTAGTTCACCCCTCTTTCATTTGATTTTTATTTTGGACTCACAAAAAAATATATTATTGTTTTCATGAGGAGGTGCTCATACTTTCTCAATAAGCTTAAAAAGTGCATGCAGATAAAGAATGCTTAAGTAAGCAAGGCTTGTCCCTTCTTAAGGCAGTTAGAATTATGTACCAGAATTATATATGCTCCTGAATATTAACCAGGTACAATGTTACAAATACTCTATAGACTTTTTTTTCAGTCTATGTTAGGACATCCAGCTGTGTATAACTATTACCCCAAGTAAGTCCTTTAGGGTATTGAAGAATATTAAGAGCTATTTTATTATGGTGTAACTTAGGCCATTTGCATTTAAAATTTAAATTTTTGAAGATTTTAGGCTTGAAATTTGAGCTAAGTCTTATAGGCTTTTACTAATTAATTGAGTGATTTAAAATGTTCATATTAAGTTCAGAAACAGTTACACTACTAGGGAGGTACAGAGAGACTATCTCCAAGTGTCTTTTGAATTAATTGCATCTGTATATATTGTCAGGTAAAACTTTAAGACTGAAAGAATTCTGGAAAGATTTTTATGAAACCCTGAGACACTTACATTGCATGCAAAATTTTGAACAACTGGGAGTAAACTAGATGCTTGATTCCCTTTCATTGAAAATATTTGAACATGTCTGGACTGTGGATGCCTAAAGAATTTCTGGTTGGTAGAGTTAAGGGAGAAGGAGACAAGGACAGAGCAAGTGTTCCTAAAAGCAGAAAGGGGGTTGAAATAAAGGCCTTTGCAGATATACCCACTTCCAAAATGAATTAAATGGGATCATCAGGTCTTCCATAGTGTTTTTACATGAAATGCTCCCTTCCTTACACCTCCTAGAAATAAAACATGTATTTTTCAGGCGATATTTGGGGCCAAAGTACCAAATAATGGGTAGTTCGTATATCCAGACTTCTAGTTTGCTATAAAAAAGATCTTAAATATGCTGTTGGGTAATTGTATCTACAGGCACAGCTATTACCTATATTATCTTAACATATATTGGATGATTGCATTTTACAAATCTAACAAATTTCTCTTACTAATAGGTGGATAGAAGCATTTCAGGAAGGCACAATATTGTAGCAGTATTGGTTTCATCTCTTCTGTGATTCCAAAAGGGTGGAATTTCATCAGAATGGAGTAAATGCAGTACAAAAAATTTTATATAAATGAACACTGCCAAAAGAAATCCAACCAAAATATTCATCAAGTATAAAAAATAATTTTGTTAGGTATGAAATAATTTTTTTAATGTTTGTTTATTCATATATGTTATTTATTAAAATGTTGGTGTTTACTTAATGGTCAGAATTATATCTGAGACTCACACTGAATTCTAAAGTACCTTTTCTGTAGAAACCAGAAAGTTTGGACCCAGTCCACACTGTTTTCTCAACGTGTTTTACAGTGTTTCATTGTAACATTTTCACTAGTTTCTGTAAATAAAAAACACACATCAAGGAGCAAATTTCCGGTCAGTGTTTGGTGTAGAAATTATGATTATAAAATGTATAACAAAAAAAATTAATGTCTTTGAATCAATAAACTTAGATGAATGTTTGTATCTTTTAATGGAAAAACAAATAGCCAATTTCTACCTCAGTAACTGTGAAATGAAATTCCATTAAGTTATCTAAAGCATTTCTACTGTTATGTAGCTCTTTTGGCATGAGATAATATTACATCATCAAGGAGTTACAGCAAAGGGAAGAATCTGAATTCTTTAACTGAACCTATGAGTAGGAAAGAGGATGTTTTCAATTGCAGAGGAACACAATAATGTAAAGGCCTTTACATTAAATCTATCTTTTTTTAAAAGCTACCAGTTCAACAGAAACTATTATGATTTTTTTAAAAAGCAAAATATGACAAACATTATATTACATAATGTCCTTTGATATTGTGTTCTGAGCTCAAGTCAATGGTGGTATTTGTATCTTAAAAAATGTTTATATTTCCCATAATATTTCCGATAATATTGTGCTTTTAAAAATCAACTGTAATTACCATATCAAAAAGGCACAAGTTCTAAGCCAGTATTAACTGAAATTGTATAATACTAGTTTTTAAATACCACTTTGTGTTATGTTCTCCCTGGTAATTAAAACAAATCCTTTACCTTTAGCAACTGTCAGCACACTTCATTAGGAAAGATTTACATTCACACTTCTGGTGCACTTTGTACATAAAATTGTTGATTTGTAAAAGAAAAATGAAATTAATACTATGATTACTAAAGTCCTTTATGTTCATGATATACATTTATTGACTGAGCCTAAATATAAATTGTCTTAAAAGACAAGGTTATTCATAAAATATTTCATTAAAGGGCACTAGAATTTTCCCTTCTGCTTTTCTGTAAACTATTTCCTAATTCAGTGTGATAGAATTGCCCAGAGAATTACTGAGTGCCTTTCTGAAGTCTTTTTAATGTAACTTGTTGCGGCACCAAATTATTCACTAAATCTAGGCTTGGCTGCTGGAGTTTTTCTGGCTATTTCCTGCTACTGAATCATTTAAACCCTGCTATATAACTTTATGCACCATCCTCACAAGTTATCTCTCTAGTCTTCCTGTTATAGCAGGTAAACAGATACTTCTTTGCAACTCACTAATTTTAATCAAGGTGGCACAAATAAGGCTACCATGTTAAAATCCATGCAGGTTTTGTTGTATCCTTTTTGAAGACCAAGGTCATACCTTATGAAGTGTTTCCTTCAGTTTCATTTTGCAAAATGACAAAATTATTTGGAATTCCTCCCCACCTTTTGTGCTGTCAGCCATCTGACTACATGACTTGGCTTAAACTGCAGAATTTAGAAACTATCAGCCAGACTATCCTATCTTCCAGTAATTGGCTAAATCAATAACCAGTTATAAACCTAAATAGAAAAAAAAACTGCACAAACTTTTAGTAATTCTCCTAATTACATGTGGAAACTCATGTACAATTGTACTAGCTTTTGACTTAGCCCTGTGGAGGGCTTTGAAAACTTTATACAACTATAAAATATAGCCTTTTGAGGAAGCTAACAAATTACCACCACCACCCATCCCCATAAAGATGTTTTAAATGTGGAACAGTATTTCCCCCTTATCAATCTTTGTAACTTATTAAAGCTGATCCTTTATTTATTTAACCTGGGAATTCAGTGTCAACTGAGAAGCCTAATTATATACATTTTGTTGTAAAGCTCATTTATAAAAACATCTCTTGATAGCTAACTTTTAGAGAAAAAAATGGTGTTGGGTGCATTCTATATATGAGGACAAAGTATAAATAGTACTAAATCTTAAAATACTGTATTGATGAAACTGATAGCATGTGCTTCAAACCCTTTTCAAGTATCTCCTTTTATTCACGAGGAGGAGAAAGAGCAGTTGCAAAGCTAAGCTAGAAATGCTGCTGAAATAGCCTAGACAAGAAAGATATGCCAGGTTAAATTTAGGGGAAGGCTGGTGTTATTAGTATGTGGCCCCAACCAGTGTTCCTCCTCTACCTTTGGTAGCTCTAAATGTAAAGGACCCACTAGAATCCTAGCAAAATGAGAAAGGTTTCTTTGGCATCATTCCGTGTTTCTGAACTTCTCTCTAACCTCTTTTCCCATTGTACCTGGTATCTTCCTATTGTCCTTTGCCAAAGATTCTTAATTCTGTCTTATGCAACCAAAAGCTTGCTTCTTTGACTCTGCAGTAGCATTTCTTAAAGTGAGATCATCAGAGCAACTTTTGTTTAATATAAAGCAATGAAAGAATTAATTGAAGAAGACAATTTTAAAGTATAGTTTTGTTAGCCAAGTGTACTTATTGGGTTGGTAGAATATGTCCAGAAATAGGGAAAGCCTGCTATTTAGTAATTTAGTTTGTAAATGTTATCACAGCATATGTTGATACATCTGGGAGGGTGCTTCCATTGTACTCAGTTTTTGAAGTTTGAGACCCATTGTAGTCAAATGCTGTCACTGGGATTTCCAGAGAGTAAGTCCTGTTTATCTTACTATACTATAAACTCCTTGAAGGCAGATACTCTAATACATCAGTTTCTCAAAAAATGCCCCATATCTTTTTAAGAGAAAAGTATGTGTTGAAATGAATAGGTGGGGTCATCAGGATTCTTGTCATCTACAACTCTTAACACAGTCCCCCAAATTCCCTCACTATAACTCAGACCTCCTCTTTCCACTGTCCTGGGAGACTGTATTTGCAATTATCTGTTGGATAGCTATACACAAGCCTTTGTTTAGCATTTTAAACTTTACTTAATTAAAAGAACTCACTGTTTTTTCATTTGAATCTATTTTCTTCTGTAGTGGAAAAACATCATTCTAGGTTCCGGAATCTGCCTCCAGGTCTCAAGAAGACCCTCTACAATTGCTCATTTCCCTTCCGTCTCCGAGGCCCTTTTCTTTCCCCATCATCCCTGGCTTAAGTCCTTGTTACCTCTTCCCAGTGATTGGAATCTTGTCATTCCAATGCCTTCTTTGGGTGGTCCCATTTTAAGTGCTTCAGAAGCTAAGCTCTAATCTAGTTTCATCCCTGCCCTTTTACAACCTTCATTAGCTTCCAAGTGGCGTGGCATGGAACACTTTTCCTCAGGTTTCACACACTTCAGCTAACCCCAGTCCAACCTTTCTCCATTCACACAGTTATTTCTTTTTTCTCACCCTCTCCTTCATCTCCGTTTCTGCCTATCTATCCAAGACTTCTTTGTGACGGTCGATCCAAGCCTTTCTCCCAAATTCTGCTCTCCCTCTCCTCCAGACTACATCTACTCTCCCTTTCCCTTGCAGCCCCCATAGCTTCTTTAACTGAACCTATGAGTAGGAAAGAGGATGTTTTCAATTGCAGAGGAACACAATAATGTAAAGGCCTTTACATTAAATCTATCTTTTTTTAAAAGCTACCAGTTCAACAGAAACTATTATGATTTTTTTAAAAAGCAAAATATGACAAACATTATATTACATAATGTCCTTTGATATTGTGTTCTGAGCTCAAGTCAATGGTGGTATTTGTATCTTAAAAAATGTTTATATTTCCCATAATATTTCCGATAATATTGTGCTTTTAAAAATCAACTGTAATTACCATATCAAAAAGGCACAAGTTCTAAGCCAGTATTAACTGAAATTGTATAATACTAGTTTTTAAATACCACTTTGTGTTATGTTCTCCCTGGTAATTAAAACAAATCCTTTACCTTTAGCAACTGTCAGCACACTTCATTAGGAAAGATTTACATTCACACTTCTGGTGCACTTTGTACATAAAATTGTTGATTTGTAAAAGAAAAATGAAATTAATACTATGATTACTAAAGTCCTTTATGTTCATGATATACATTTATTGACTGAGCCTAAATATAAATTGTCTTAAAAGACAAGGTTATTCATAAAATATTTCATTAAAGGGCACTAGAATTTTCCCTTCTGCTTTTCTGTAAACTATTTCCTAATTCAGTGTGATAGAATTGCCCAGAGAATTACTGAGTGCCTTTCTGAAGTCTTTTTAATGTAACTTGTTGCGGCACCAAATTATTCACTAAATCTAGGCTTGGCTGCTGGAGTTTTTCTGGCTATTTCCTGCTACTGAATCATTTAAACCCTGCTATATAACTTTATGCACCATCCTCACAAGTTATCTCTCTAGTCTTCCTGTTATAGCAGGTAAACAGATACTTCTTTGCAACTCACTAATTTTAATCAAGGTGGCACAAATAAGGCTACCATGTTAAAATCCATGCAGGTTTTGTTGTATCCTTTTTGAAGACCAAGGTCATACCTTATGAAGTGTTTCCTTCAGTTTCATTTTGCAAAATGACAAAATTATTTGGAATTCCTCCCCACCTTTTGTGCTGTCAGCCATCTGACTACATGACTTGGCTTAAACTGCAGAATTTAGAAACTATCAGCCAGACTATCCTATCTTCCAGTATTTGGCTAAATCAATAACCAGTTATAAACCTAAATAGAAAAAAATACTGCACAAACTTTTAGTAATTCTCCTAATTACATGTGGAAACTCATGTACAATTGTACTAGCTTTTGACTTAGCCCTGTGGAGGGCTTTGAAAACTTTATACAACTATAAAATATAGCCTTTTGAGGAAGCTAACAAATTACCACCACCACCCATCCCCATAAAGATGTTTTAAATGTGGAACAGTATTTCCCCCTTATCAATCTTTGTAACTTATTAAAGCTGATCCTTTATTTATTTAACCTGGGAATTCAGTGTCAACTGAGAAGCCTAATTATATACATTTTGTTGTAAAACTCATTTATAAAAACATCTCTTGATAGCTAACTTTTAGAGAAAAAAATGGTGTTGGGTGCATTCTATATATGAGGACAAAGTATAAATAGTACTAAATCTTAAAATACTGTATTGATGAAACTGATAGCATGTGCTTCAAACCCTTTTCAAGTATCTCCTTTTATTCACGAGGAGGAGAAAGAGCAGTTGCAAAGCTAAGCTAGAAATGCTGCTGAAATAGCCTAGACAAGAAAGATATGCCAGGTTAAACTTAGGGGAAGGCTGGTGTTATTAGTATGTGGCCCCAACCAGTGTTCCTCCTCTACCTTTGGTAGCTCTAAATGTAAAGGACCCACTAGAATCCTAGCAAAATGAGAAAGGTTTCTTTGGCATCATTCCGTGTTTCTGAACTTCTCTCTAACCTCTTTTCCCATTGTACCTGGTATCTTCCTATTGTCCTTTGCCAAAGATTCTTAATTCTGTCTTATGCAACCAAAAGCTTGCTTCTTTGACTCTGCAGTAGCATTTCTTAAAGTGAGATCATCAGAGCAACTTTTGTTTAATATAAAGCAATGAAAGAATTAATTGAAGAAGACAATTTTAAAGTATAGTTTTGTTAGCCAAGTGTACTTATTGGGTTGGTAGAATATGTCCAGAAATAGGGAAAGCCTGCTATTTAGTAATTTAGTTTGTAAATGTTATCACAGCATATGTTGATACATCTGGGAGGGTGCTTCCATTGTACTCAGTTTTTGAAGTTTGAGACCCATTGTAGTCAAATGCTGTCACTGGGATTTCCAGAGAGTAAGTCCTGTTTATCTTACTATACTATAAACTCCTTGAAGGCAGATACTCTAATACATCAGTTTCTCAAAAAATGCCCCATATCTTTTTAAGAGAAAAGTATGTGTTGAAATGAATAGGTGGGGTCATCAGGATTCTTGTCATCTACAACTCTTAACACAGTCCCCCAAATTCCCTCACTATAACTCAGACCTCCTCTTTCCACTGTCCTGGGAGACTGTATTTGCAATTATCTGTTGGATAGCTATACACAAGCCTTTGTTTAGCATTTTAAACTTTACTTAATTAAAAGAACTCACTGTTTTTTCATTTGAATCTATTTTCTTCTGTAGTGGAAAAACATCATTCTAGGTTCCGGAATCTGCCTCCAGGTCTCAAGAAGACCCTCTACAATTGCTCATTTCCCTTCCGTCTCCGAGGCCCTTTTCTTTCCCCATCATCCCTGGCTTAAGTCCTTGTTACCTCTTCCCAGTGACTGGAATCTTGTCATTCCAATGCCTTCTTTGGGTGGTCCCATTTTAAGTGCTTCAGAAGCTAAGCTCTAATCTAGTTTCATCCCTGCCCTTTTACAACCTTCATTAGCTTCCAAGTGGCGTGGCATGGAACACTTTTCCTCAGGTTTCACACACTTCAGCTAACCCCAGTCCAACCTTTCTCCATTCACACAGTTATTTCTTTTTTCTCACCCTCTCCTTCATCTCCGTTTCTGCCTATCTATCCAAGACTTCTTTGTGACGGTCGATCCAAGCCTTTCTCCCAAATTCTGCTCTCCCTCTCCTCCAGACTACATCTACTCTCCCTTTCCCTTGCAGCCCCCATAGCCCCCATAGCCCTTAGCTTTATAAACAAAACTTTCTTACAGTGCTTCTTACCACATTCTGTTCTTGAAAACAGCAACTTACCTTGTTCATTTGAGACTCCCTCTTAGCATTTGGCAGAGTGCCTTTGCATGAAGTGGACACACTCAGTATTTGTGAATTAAACTATTTCAGATGGATTCCTTTCTTTTTTAAGTGCCTCCAATACACAAATACCACTCAGGAGTCTATGCCATTTTTAATGTTATCTTCTAAAGGAAAATCTTTATCTGTGACTTATTCCCATTTAAGAGAAGAGATAAAAAATTTACAGTAGAATTTTTTTGTTCGATAAAGGTAGTAGGAAATTTTCAAAAAGCCTCAATATCAAATTCTTTTTTGGGAAGGTGGGGGAGGGATTGGGGGGGCATTTTTCTTTTTATATGAGTTGGTCATAGTGTGTTAACCCATCTTGAAGAGCTGTTGTTTTCTTAAATGACTTACGAATTTATAGAAACACTTTTTACTTAAAGTGATACTAGTTGTATCTTATTGTCCATATAGAGATATAGATCCTTTATTAAAAATTAGCATTGTAAATAATGTTAATATGTATTATATTTATGCAAAATAAATATACTATATCTACTTTTTGGTGTGATAATGTCTTAAACCATAATTTTTTTTTAAGCATCACACATTTAAAGAACTACACTGACCTGTTTTCCTGAAGCATATTTGGGGGAAGCTCTTCTTCACCCGTAGATGATGGTCCTAAAATAGCGTCACTTCCAAATTTTAGTAAGTCAACTTAAGTGAATTAATTGGGCAAGGGGTAATCACAAGCATGCATATTATGCACTGAGAGTAGAGAACGGTCTCAGATTTTTTCCATTAGACCTATGCTATACTTTCTTAGCTTTCATCTTTGGACCACATGAAGGATTTGGGGGAGGTGGGGCTGCCTTAAAACCACCAAACACAAAACATGATGCTAAAAGGAAGAGGGGGACTGTCATAGAATGAGGCATATTTCCACTGCATGCCCTTTTTCTGAGTCCAGCTGTCTAATTCCAGAGGAAAATGAGAGAGATGTTCTCCTTCCATGCGCACCTATGTCTTTCTGACCTGAATCTGCTTTTCTAGTGCTGATCAATACTGAAGAAATTTCGAGAACCCCTTCTCTTAAAGTCCAAACCACACAGTGCTTTGTACACAGGGCAGTTCTTCTTGCCATAGCAGGTGGCCACTGTCAGAATGTGATGTTAGTCAATGCCTCTTTATTTCACAAATCTTTATTGACCACTAGGCGTTGTCCTATATGCTTGGGCGGCATACACAGCTTAATTAACAAAACATAAAAACAGCCTTCTGGAAGCTTACATTCTATGGAATTACAGTCTTGTTCCATTTAGCCATTATACCTGTTTATTTACAAGAGTTTGTAAGAAATCTGTGTCAGTATACAGGATTTTGCCCCCGCTTGTCTTTTTATTTAAAAGGGAATTTTGCTGGGATCTAACCAGATTTTTTAGTCCTCTCATAAACCTTAGAGTCTAAGACATAGGCCCAGTTTTTCCGCAAGTTAGAAACCGGACTGCCTATAGTTGATTAGCTTATTTATTATTACTTAAATCTGGAACATCGTTTCACAATTTCCTTTAACGACCGCCTTTGGCAAACTGGATGCCAAGTGCGCCGGTAGCGTTACGCAGCTCTAACGGAGCAGTTTCCCTCCAGGTAGATAGGGGGCAGTCAACTTTTAGAGTCTTTTCCCTCCAGCCAGGGTACGTCACGATCTACAACCAACTTCACTAATGCGCAGGCGCGGACGGAAGCGCGCACCGTGGAGCCGAGGGTGGGGTCACGAACTCTGACCCCCCCAAATACACAAATCTAGAAACTTCCCTCCCCCACTTCTCTTTACCCTGCAACTTTCTCCAACCTGTTTCTTCTCGGAACCCCCAAGCAGCCGTTGCAGCGGGACCGTCCGGTCTATGCCCGCTGCAGGACGTAGCTTGGCCGAGAAGCGCCGGTAAGAAGTGCCAGGTGGGGAAAGTAGCACCGCCGTTGCACCCCGGGGAGGGGGCGGGGGTGTTCCTCTATCCCAGCCACCAACGGACATGCCACCGATCCGCCCGACGCCTGCGGGCTTCGGCCCATCGACGGGCCCGTCGGGCAGTGCCGCGGAGGGCTGCTGGGGCTGGGCTGGGAGCGCGGACGGTGACGGAAGCGGCGGGGCCCCGAGAGAGGCCGAGGCCGGGGTGCAGGGCCCAGAGCCTGGCGAGGGGCGCGGGACGAAAGTAGGCGAGCGGCTCGGTTTGCTCTGCAGCCTTTCCCGCGGCGCCTCTGACCTTTCACCTGCAGGAAAAGCTTCCGTCTCAGGGACGCCTCCGCTTCCCCCGCCACCCGGAGCCGCGCGGCGCAGCCAGGCGGGGGGCGCTTGGGGGGCTCGGTTGCCCGCGGGACGGGGGAGAGCCAGGAGCCGAGGCTTGAATCCTTCACCCGGGGCCTTTTTCTAATTCTCACGCTTGCACAGGACGGACGGAGTAACGCCCTCAATTTTTATGACATATAGTGAGAGTGGCCGCTGCGTTTGGACCTGTTACCTTTGGGAGGGGGGAAAAGGTGGTTTGGGCATGTCCAGGTTTCCAGTAGCCTTTTTGTTGAGAAACTGCTTCCAGACTCCTGCAGATCGCGTTTTACTGAGTTACAAATTGTCAACAAGCTGTAATAGCCTTCATTAAGTAGGGCAGCCTGTTTAAAAAATAATACTGGAAAAGAAAAGTGAAAGACTTGAAATTAAGGCTGTTGAGTTTTTGTTTCTCTCATGTAAATAGGCCTTCGATGTTTGAGATTTTGGTTGGTTGGTTGGTTGGTTGGTACACGATGATTATTTTAAAATTTTGGTTATTGTCCAATTGGTAGACGTAAGAGATGATTGTTTACTTTTATTAAAAAGTGAATTGTATGAAATGTAACTACATCATTCTTTGTAGGGATATTTTCATGTCTTTTGGGAAAGGTTTTGAAGGAGGCACAAAACAAACACTCCCAAAATACCTACTGTTTGTGTTTCTGCTACACAAAGTTTAATTTCTATCCTTGGGGATTAGAAAAAACAAACAGCATATAATAGAGTTAGTAGTATAAATATAGCTCTCTACCTTTTTTGAGTCATAGGACCCTCTGCAACCTCTTAAAATCTTTATGAAAGCTTTGAATCTTCTCTCCAGACAAATATACCTTTAAGTAAAAATTTGCATACAATATTAGAAGATAACATCTGTTAATTTAACAGCTTAACAGCTTCAGTGTTCATAATAAATGATGGACTCATTAGAAAGAGTGGATTAAAAAAAAACTTAAACTGAGAAAGGTCTGCTGGAAGTTAAATGAGGGAGGAGGAGCTTGGAATGATATATTGGGGAATGATATATTGGGAAATAAAGAACATCCTAGTTTGACCTGAAGAGAGTCCCCTTTTGGGAATGGTAGGAGATAAAATGAGACCATAAGGAAGTCCGGCTATAAAGGAACTCTCCTTTGTTCATAGTGCCAGGTATGTTACAGGGACTTAATAAATACTGAAAAATACACCAGGAGAATAGCTGAAACTTTATTCTTTAGCCTTTAAAGAGATGCTATGGTTCTGAAACTGAAAGAGCGTTTCAGTTCCGTAAGCATCCTGAGATAGAGCTGCTTGTCAGAGGTGCTGACCCAAAGATGGTTTTTCACTTCTTGGAACTTTAAGTATACACAAAGATGGTTCTTACCTTCTAGGGGCTTTTCATGTACGCAGTTTCATCTGTTAAGTATACTTTCAGAAAACTCAATTCTGGAAGTAGCTGAAATTTACCAGAAGGTAATTTAACTGGTAGGCCGTAGACTGGCCAGAGGAGGTTTTATGAATGTGAAATTCAGCATTTACTATCATTTGTAGTGTGAATGAATGTGCACTTCTGTTTGCTGCTGAGGGAAACTTTAACTTGCATCAGATTCTTATGATGTTTGCTCCACCCAACTGGGGGGAAAAATCATTGTTTTATATCGTATTTTCAAGTTTCTTTATGCCACACAAATACATGTTTCATCATGATTCAGCACATTTTGTGTATACAAAATTGAAATAAAATCATCCTGAGACTATTCTTACCCTCACTTTACCTGATAGACTATTCCTGTTTTCCTGTTTTGTTTGGTTTTGTTTTAAATCTGGCAACTAAATTAATTTATTCACCCATAGATGGCTCTCAACATGAAGTTTGCAAAATACTGCTTTGGATGACAGCAGCCTGCGAATGGGAGTGGTTGGGAAGAGTAAGGGGAAAGCTGATGCTGGGAAAAGAAAATGAACTGTATCTGATGTAGTCAAAGGAGCAGACTTAAAATTTTGAACCTGAATGAAAGAAGGATGGCACCACTATGCCATCTTCCACATCAAATCCACTTCCGTGGGGACGGTATGTAGAAATGAGATGGAGGTAAATGTGAGAAAAATAAAAACAAATGTAGGACCGAGTCTCCTCTCTGTTATTAGCATTAGAGTAGTGAAGGCAGCATCTTCTGCTTTTTGCTTTGTCCCTTAGGCTGGTAAAAACACTTAATCCTTCAATGGCTAACTCAGATGTCTCTTCCCTAAGCTTGTCCCATTGTGGTTCTTCTGTGGTGTTGAGCATTGTGTTCATTCCTCTAACTTGCAGGGAATACTAATTACCTGTAAGACTCTGTTAGCCCTTGGTACATATATTTTCACTAACACTGTATTTTTACAACAGCTTTTTAAAGTAACACTGTATTGAATCCATTTCATATATGAGGAAACTGAGCCTCAGGTTGAGTGACATGTAGTCATGTGTTTAGTTAACAGTAAATATGGCATTGGAACTCTAATATATTTACTTGAGATTGAGGGCACTCGACTACCTGTATAAACTTTCAGAGGTTGGTTGAAAAACTATAGTTCTTTTCCTTAGAAGTCTATTTTCACAGATGGTCATCTAAACAAGATGAGGGCAGGGTGCTTTAGAAGGTAAATGGGCACAAGGTACAGAGGGCTATAGAGAAGGGAGTGCTTACTTTTCTGATTACAGTAGTAGATAACCATTCAAAAAGCATAAAGAAGAAAAGCAGTAAATCTCCACCTAGAAAAGTCACTGTTAACATTTGAGAATGTTTATTTCAGCCCTTGCATGTTTTGCATAATTGAAATCAATGTTAACTAAAAAATTCTTAACCTTTCAATTAGTTTGTCAGCATTTTCTCATCATCATTCATATTTTCCTTCTACATGATTTTAATGAGAATTTTTGCATAAATCCTTGTCCTATGGCTTTGCTAAAGCATCACCTCAGTAAGGCCATCTCTGTCCTCTTTATTAAAAATTGCAAATTCACCCCTGTCCCTGCTCTATTTTTCTCCAACATTTGTTGATATGTATTTTACTTGTTTATTGTCTGTTTCACCCCACCAAAATACAAACTTCACAAGGGAAAGTTTGTTTTAATACTCTGTGCTTTATCCCTAACACCTAGATAAACACCTGGTCGGTAGGAAGCACTCAATAAGTTATCTGTTGAGTGGAAGAATAGTAAATTATTGGGTCAATGAATATGAACATATGTAAGGCTCTTAATACACACTGGCAGATTACTTTTCTAAGAAGGTTATAATAATTTAGATTTCTGTCAGTAATATATAAAGAATGTCTGGTTTACCTCAGTTTTGGGAGTTAAATTTAGTCTCAGGAAACAAGCATATTTTGATCTAGTGATTCCCCTGGCATACATGGTAGACAGAGAAAGCATTAGCAAAGATGTGGTAACATGAAACAGCAAGGTAAATTCAAGGATTTACAGCTAGTGTGTATGGCCAGCATGTAAGGTTTAACAAATGGCACCTTAAATCTTTGGAGAATATTAAGAAGTGGAATAATATTAAAAATATGTTTTAGAGCACTCTGGCAGCAAATTTTTTTTATTTTTTATTAAAGTCATTGATATCTAATCTTAGAATGGTTTCAAATACACAACACAGTGTTCAGCGTTCACCCATATTATCCAGTCCTTACCCCCTCCAGTGCGGTCACTGTCCATCAATGTAGTAAGATGTTAATAGAGTCATTAACTGTATTCTCCATGTTGTACTACCGATCCCGTGACCACCCTATATTGTGATTGTGAATATTGTGCCCTTTAACCCCCTTCTCTCTTCCCTACCCCTCTCTTTTGGTAACCACTAGTTCTTTCTTGGTGTCTGTGAGTCTACCTCTATTTTGTTCCTTCTGTTTTGCTTTGTTTTTATACTGGCAGCAAAATATTAAAGTAGCAATTAAGAGAATGTTACTAGACTTAGAAATCAAGAAACTTGGAGACTGACCAGATTGATTATAGTTTGGATTGTCCTCATGGACACAGTCACCCATGTTGATGGCAGGAAAGGGACAACATTGTCAAAATCTTCAATGAATCTTGAAACAGAAGTTAATGAATCATAATAATAAAGCCACTGGAAACTGGTGTAATTGATTTACATGAATCTCAGAGGTGTGGGGGAAATAAGCAGCCTTGTTTAGAGACTTGCAATATTAGTTGTGTCCTGGAGATCTGTTTATTATTATGCCATAGCTAGTATACATATAAATACAAGATACGTAGTTTCATGCTCATTTGCCTATTGTCTTAAGAATAATTTCTTTTAAATTTAATATGTATCTCTTTTCCCTATCACTGAATTACTCTTCATGAGACTCCTCATTTTTTAGCTTTCTTCTAAAGCTGGGAATAAAATCTGAACTAGTAGCCCAAACTAATTTGATTCTTTTCAAACTCTGTCAGTAGCCTCTCCCCATCAAGAAGATTCTGTATATCAGTACATCAGGGTAACTGGGATTCCCTGTTATCTTTTGGTTTGATGAGAAAGTACAACAGTCTTCAATCCTTAAGACTCCAGACCTCAAGCTTTTACCTTAAGGATTGCAAAGCTGCCTTGCTTTCGCTCCTTATTTACCAGTTTACCTTTTTACCAACTTAAGAAAAAAATGTTTGGTGTGTTTGAAAAAAATTCAACCAAAATTAATTTTATATTGTAAATTCCCTAGAAACTTTGGAGGTTATTTGAAACAACATAGTTGTGAAACTAGCCATTTACTAAAGAAATCGCAAGGCAAGAATTTGGAGAAGAATCTTGATCCAGAAGTAGCCGAAAGTACATCTCCTTATATATTATTTTATAAGAATAAGTGGGTTTTTTCCCTTCTTTTGGGATTTCTCCAACTGACAACAGAAAATTGGAGAGTTGAAGATTTCTGCGTCTCAGCAGTAGAAGCAAATTGAACTGGCTTATAATGACTGTATTAGTAGCTGTGTTTGTGCTGGTCGCATCTTTGGTAAATAGGCATTCCGTAGACGGAAGCTGCCAGTCATACAGTCACACTGACCTTCCTTTCTCTTGTCAGTACTTAATGCAAGAATAAGCACGTCACATAAGCTGGGCTGCTCGGAATCCATTACCAGGGTTTTAAAATGAATTAGAAAAGACTACTTTCCTTTCTTGGTGTTTTACTACAAAGTTGAAAATAAGAGGCTGCATAGAATAAGAACAGAGTCCTGACAGCATCAGTGACCCTAGCTCAGGGTTTTTTCAAGGTCAGCTGTACTATAGTCCTAGCAACGTGTATTCTGTCCCTCTCTCCTCCTCTTTTTCTCTTTTTTTGCTTAAACTAGCAGTCTTTGAGCTTTTATCATAACCAGAGTGACTAACGCACACTCATAAATTACCTGCTTTCATGCCCAATGCTATTTTATTCTCACCATTTCCCCTCTGCTAGTAATTTTGTTTATCAAAGTTAATAATAACTGTCCTCTGGAAATTCTGAATTTTAGTAAAAAATTAATAAATTTGAATAGGAGTTGTAGTTAATTTAGATAGTCTGCCTTTTTTTGGTAAATGGTGAAAATTTTTTAAATGAACAAGATTCTATAATGTATTTGAGTTATTTCATGGATGTTTTTATATATAAACGTATTATATTCCTGGATAGTTTAATGAGAGAAATAGGTAATGATGAAAATTGGATTATAGATTTTACTTTATATCATTGTCTTTGACTTCCTAGACTTGAGTCTTAAAATAAATTAATGAACTGGCTTGACAGACATTTAATAGGCTTTACAAGTAGGATATGATAATTAGTTTGAGGTCACAGGGGAAGATATGTTTGGTTGAACAGGGGTCCAAAGGGGGAAGGCTGTTCTTAATCTGTCCTTCTAGTCAAACCTTTTTTCCAGATTCCTCACTTGTGTTCTGCTCAACACAAATTGAGGTATATGATCACTGAAGCAAATATTCTAAAAACTTGCCCTGAGTATTTTCTAACCAGTTTGGATTATATGAATCTATAAAACAAAGGACATAAACTCTGGACTACTGCTGTAGTGCAGAGGGTTTATATAGAGAGGAAGAGAAAATTGATGTGTTGGATCACAAAACAATATATGTTAACATATGTATGTATATATTTTTCTGAGGAGGGTGTGTAGCTTTAGTCAGATTCTCTAAGGAGTCTGTAACTCCAAAAAAGGTTGACAATCTGTTGCAGTTTCCTGCTCTTTTCTTCATAAACAAAAAAAAAAACCCCTGGATATCCCTGAATTCAATACTCAAGAATGCTATTCCAAGAATGTTAACATTCAGCTCTTTCAGCTTGTGTTACCTGTAGCCTTGCTAGTGACAAAGGAGACAGTCATGACCTATACATACACGTGCCTCCCACAGGATGCCCTCATCATCTTTGGTCTCTGGCTAAATAATAGTTGATTTAGTCTAATTGTTAGCCTGAAGACTGGTCCAAAGAGGAAATGTTCTTAATCTGCCTTTCTGGTCAGACCTGTTCCCCAGATTACTGTGGTTTGGGACTGGGAAATGGAATGCTGCTGTGATAGCATGGAGATTTGAATTCAGGTCTAATACTCGTGTACTTTTAAGTAATCAATGATAAGGTATAGAAGTAGTTAATCCACCTAAGTTTTCATTATGAAGTAGCTTCATGGAGTAGAGTGTGTTGGTAACATTGGTGTTGATTTTAGGATTTCTGAGAAATACTCCTTTTCTGTAAGCTTTTTTTTTAAACCTTTTAATTAATTTTTGTTTTAATACTTGTAGTTAAAATTTTAAAGGAACAAGCAACTTAACTCTGTGAGAAATAAGTCTCTGTCCCCTATATCTCTGTTCCAAAACTTCCAGTTCTTTTCCCTGAAGTTAGTCACTGTAACCATTTTCTTATGTGTTCTTCCAGGTAGTTTTCCCTGTCTCTTGGTAGTATTTTAAAGCTTTCTTTACATAGATCTTGCACATTTCTTACTAGATTTATGCCTAATTGTTATGAGCTGAATTATCTCTCCGCAAAATCATATATTTAAGTCCTGAGCCCCAGCATTTCAAATTGTGACTCTATTTGGGGATGAGGCCTTTAAAAAGATAATGGTGTTAAAATGAGGTCATTAGGGTGGGCCTTAATCTAATATGACTGTTGTTCCTATAAGAAGATGAGATTACAATACAAGCATAAACAGGAGAAAGACTGAAGAGACAAAAGACAGTCACCTGCAAGCCAAGGGGAGAGGTCTCAGCAGGAGCCAACCATGCCAACAGCTTGTCTCAGATTTCTAGCCTCCAGAATTGTGAGAAAATTAAGTTTTGTTGCTTAAACCACCCGGCCTGAGCTACATTATGTCTGCCTTAGCAAACCAATACAGATTTTGGTACTGGGAGATGCAGCACTGCTGTAACACAAATATCTAAAAATTTGGAACTGGATAGAGGCTGTAAGATATTTGAGGTGCATGCTAGAAAAAGGAATCTAGATTGCCTTGAAAAGATTGTTGGTAGAAATATGCATGTCAAAGGCAATTCTGGTGAGGGTTCAGAAGGAAAAGAGGAGGAAAAGAAAAAGCTGTTGTCAAAGATAAACATGTCATCATGAACAGAATGTTTATTGAAATACAGACCTTAAAGGTACTTCTGATGAGGTTTCAGATGGAAATGAGGAACATGTTATGTATTGGTAACTTGAAGAAAGGCAAACTTTGTGATAAAGTAGCAAAGAATTTGTGTTGTGTTCTGGTCCTTTGTGGAAAATAGAACTTGTAAGTGATGAACTTGGATATTTGTCTGAGATTTCTAAGCTAAGTACTGAACATGAAGCCTGGTTTCTCCTTGCTGCTTGTAGTAAAATGTGAGAGGAGAGAAATAAATTTAAGAAGGAATTAAGAAAAATGGAACCAGAACTTGAAAATTTGGAAAATACTCAGCCTATCCATATTTCAAAAAAAGCGAAAGTGTTTTCTAGAGAGACTATGCAAGGTGCAACTGCACAACAGTTTGCTAAAGAAATTACAGACCTGTTATTTGTGGATCCAGCCACCTATACTGACTGAAGCCAGAACAGAGATGGGGTAATCCAGGAGAGATCTTAGAGGATGGCTTAGATGTTAGGCAGCAAGAGTTTTGAGAATTTTATACCAGTCGAAATTCTGCCAGGTTGGAGTAAAGGGGATACAGAGGGGATGAAATGAAGGAAAGCTCTGGGGCTTACAGGATTCTACTGGTGGGACAACAGAGCTATGCGGTTTTGAACATGTCTTATCCTTCAAGAAATGGGAAGAATGACCCCAAAGATTGGTCAGTTTGGCAGGGCAGCCAGTGCCACGATGGTCCTGAACCCACAGGCCTGGGAGACAGCAGTGTCCTGGCTGGTTCCCAGGAGGTTGGGGCCACCGCTTTTCAGTCTAGTGAGAGAGAGTTGAATAATCAAGCTAAATATTGAATATTGCTTATTTCAACTTCTAAAAGTAATAAAAAGAAAAAGTTCAGATAATTTGATAATATTAATTATAATTACAGAATACTACTGAACTTATGACACATATGATAAAATCAAGAATAATTTTTGTATTTTAAAGTACCTGATACAGAGAAAAAGCAAAAGTCAAAGTCAGTCCTTTAGTCTCTTACAGGCTCTCAAGTCAATTTGGAGACAGTTTTACATTCAAATTACCCTTAAGATATAAGAAATTGCCCCTAATGAAGGACAGTCACAGAATTCTAGAGAAATCATTTGACCTTTTAAATGAATGTAATTATTTTGTGAGTTTTTTCAATATAATGATGAAGGAGCATTAAATGGCTACAGTGATGTTTGTTTACAGAGGGGCTGCCCTTATTTTAATAAATTGCTCCTTATCTGTATCCGAGTTCTTTTTTAGGCTTCAGTATCTTTGAAAAGTGAAACTGGCATTGATTAGTTTTGTTAGACATTTTCAAAATATCTAAAAGCAGTGAGAATAGTTTTATGAACCCTTCTATAAATCTTCAGTAATTGTCAGTTCATGACCAGTCTTCTTTATTCCCTCTCACCCCCACCTTCCCCAACTGGATTATTTTGAAGCAAATACTAACGATCATATAATTTCATTTGTAAATTCTTCAATAAATATGTTTTTGTGGACATAATTGTGAAAAAAAAATCTTTTTATTTTTGGCAGGACATTTTGGCAATTAACATGGCAACTATAGAAGAAATTGCACACCAAATTATTGAACAGCAGATGGGAGAGGTATGTCTAGTTTATAGTTCATTCACTGATTGACCAAACTTATGGTGGTTCTCAAGGTACAGAGATAAAAGGCACACCCAACTTTAAGGAAGCTTTAATCTAGTTAGAGGTAGTTGAATAATCCGATACTTACAATATAATATGGCAAATGCTGTGATAGATAATTGTATAGGGTGCAGTGGGAGCACAGAAGAAACAGCTGATGGAGAGTTGTGGGTGGGGTATGAGGACCTGGTCAGGAAATGTTTTTGGAGGGTGCAAACTCTGAGACTCGTCTTAAGGGACCAATGAGAAGAGATCTATGTCAATAGACAGATACTCGTTTTTTTTTAACACTTATGCCCTATTCCTTAGTAAGAGGTACCATAATCCAGAGGTTTTCAAAGTACCTTCTAGGGACTCTTTCAGAGAGTCAGCAAGGTCAAAATTGTTCTCATTATAATACTGAAATATTATTTGCCTTTCCACTATCATTCTCTCACAAATAGAATTTTTCCAGAGGTTATGTGACATGTAATGATATTATTATATGATGAAACGTGTCAACATTTAAAAGGTATACATAATTCAGCGAACCAATGTTTTTCAAATACCCGAGCATGGTGTTATTAAATTATAAATAAAGGGTCCATTCAAATTGCAGGATAGACCAATAGATTTTAATATAATTTCTGATTTTACTTTTATACAACTTTTTTATTGTAACTTTTGTAAAACCACTTGTCAAGTTTTAGTGGAGTATCAAAGAATAGTTGCACCCTACATGCATCTAGTACTCTTCTCTAAGAAATAAGTTTGTAGCCATTAGACTTTTATTCAATTCACAATGAATATTTCTGATAGAAATAATCCAAAATAAAACTTAAAACAGTTTAAACTTTATGTGGTAAATTTGTTATAGATGAAATGATTAAAAGTCACACCTTATAGGTATCATTGAAAATTGCAAACATTGTTAGGGAAGATGGAGAAAACGTCAACAGTTAAAAACTGCACCCAGAAAAGTAGGACATGATAGTAATACTGGTCAATAAAGTAAAACTCAAGTGGCAACAGCTATCATGAGTATAGTCTGCTCTAGACAAAAACAGGTTGGTGGTTCAGAACTTTGTTGTAAATTCTGTGTAGAAAAGAATCTTGAAAATAATTTCAGGGACATGGAAAACAGTTAAAAACAAACCAAAGTTGCCATTTTAAAATTGAATCAAGGAATTATATTGGCTTAATGAGTTTACTCAGATATTTGCTTATTAAGATCAAAAACCCTCAGTGCTGGGTTCTCTTTCTTTTTTCATGAACTTGTTCTTCCCCAGACTACTTGATCTAAATATATGGCAATTCTGTCCTTCGAGTTGCTCAGGTCAAAATTTCATAGTCATCCTTGACTCAGATCACCTCATATTCCATACCCATTCCATCAACACATCTTGTCACCTTTCCTTTCATAGAATATCCCAAATCCAATCGTTTTTCACCCCTAGCATGGCTACTATCCTGTTCCCAACTAGTATCTTTGCCCACATATATACCCAGATATTTGAGTGATAACATCCTTTCTGGGCTCCCTTAATTCTGTTCTTGAACACTGACATACTAGTCTTCATACTAAGTGTAGAATGATCCTTTTTGATAAAGATCCTGCAACTTCTCTGCTTCATAAACCCCCTCCAGTGGATCTCCATTTCACACAGGAAGAAATGCATAGACTTCATATGGCCTATGAAGCCCTACATGATCTGGCTCCTGCTATTGCTCAAATCCTATCTTCTACTATAATCCCTCTCTTCCACTATGTTTCATTCACACAGCGTTCTTGCACTATTTGTCTCAAATATATGGAACACATACTTCCTGCTCCACAGCTGTTTATGTTCTGTTTCCTCTACCTGACATGCATTTCTCCTAGCTAGCCCTAAGCCTTGGTCTCTTATTTCACTTAGGTCTGTGCAAAAATGTCTTCTCCTCACTGCTGTCATTCCTTCAGTCCTTCAGACTCTTTATTTTTCTTTGTAGCACTTATTATATCTGACAATATTTGCTTATTTCTTTTTATTGAAGTGTACTTGATATACAATCTTATATTGGTTTCAAGTATACAACACAGTGGTTCCACAGTTATCCATATTATTAAATCCTCACCCCCACAAGTGCAGTTACTCTCTGACAACATAAAAAGATGTTACAGACTTACTTAATTTTTTGTTTTTTTATTTCTTATTTTGGTATCATTAATATAAAATCACTTGAGCAGCATGGTTGTTACTAGATTTTCCCCATTATCAAGTCCCCACCACATACTCCCTTACAGTCACTGTCCATCAGTGTAGTAAGATGCTATAGAGTCACTACTTGTCTTTTGTTCTATACTGCCTTCCCTGTGCCACCCCCATGTTACGTGTGCTAATCATAATGCCCCTTATTTCCCTTCTCCCTCCCTTCCCACCCACCCTCCCAGTCCCTTTCCCTTTAGTAATTGTTAGTCCATTCTTGGGTTCTGTGAGTCTGCTGCTGTTTTTTTCCTTCAGTTTTTGCTTTGTACTTATGCTTCACAGGTGAGTGAAATCATTGGCATTTGTCTTTCTCCGCCTGGCTTATTTCACTGAGCATAATACCCTCTAGCTCCATCCATGTTGTTGCAAATGGTAGGATTTGTTTTCTTATGGCTGAAGAATATTCCATTGTGTATATGTACCACATCTTCTTTAGCCATTCATCTACTGATGAACACTTAGGTTGCTTCCACTTCTTGGCTATTGTAAGTAGTGCTGTGATAAACATAGGGGTACATAGGTCTTTTTGAAACTGGGATCCTACATTCTTAGGGTAAATTCCTAGGAATGGAATTCCCTAAGGCTATTTCTATTTTTAGTTTTTTGAGGAACCTCCATACTGCTTTCCACAATGGTTGAACTAGTTTACATTGCCACCAGCAGTGTAAGAGGGTTCCCCTTTCTCTGCATCCTCGCCAGCATTAGTTGTTCTTAGTCTTTTCTGTGTTGGCCATCCTAACTGGTGTGAGGTGATATCTCATTGTGGTTTTAATTTGCATTTCCCTGATAATTAGTGATGTGGAGCATCTTTTCTTGTGCCTGTTAGCCATCTGAGTTTTTTTTTTGGAGAAGTGTCTGTTCATATCCTCGCCCATTTTTTAATAGGGTTATTTGCTTTTTGGATGTTGAGGCATCTGAGTTCTTTATATATTTTGGATGTTAACCCCTTGTCGGGCATGTAATTTACAAATATATTCTCCCATACTGTAGGATGCCTTTTTGTTCTGCTGATGGTATCCTTTGCTGTACAGAAGCTTTTTAGCATGATGTAGTCTCATGTTTTCATTTTTGCCTTTGTTTCCCTTGCCCAAGGAGATGCGTTCAGGAAAAAGTTGCTCATGTTTATATTCAAGAGATTTTTGCTTATGTTTTCTTCTAAGAGTTTTATGGTTTCATGACTTACATTCAGGTCTTTGATCCATTTTGAGTTTACTTTTGTGTATAGGGTTAGACAATAATCCAGTTTCATTCTCTTGCATGTAGCTGTCAGACTTGTTTTTAATCTGCCTTTCCTCATTAAAATAAAAGGTTTATGAGAAAAAAAGTTTTGTTTTGTTTATGGTGTTCTAGGGCTCAGTGTTTGGCAAGTAGAATACACCCAATGTATATTTGTCTAAATGGAAGGTGGGAGGGAAAGGGAAAGAAGGAATCAAACTAGTGAGGTCCACATGTTCTTACTATTGTAGCTTTATTGCACAGTTGTTATTTCTGTAGATTAGGCTTTCATAGAAGTAGAATTGCTGGTTTAAAAGATTTGTATGGAGTATATATGATGGTATGCTTTTCTAGCTTTGTCTAAAGATATGAGAAAATTGTGTCCTTAGAGAAAAAAAAGATTTGAGTTTAATTGATGATTACTAATTTAACATGATTGTGTTAGCTTGTTACAGAGCAGCAAACTGGCCAGAAAATCCAGATCGTGGCAGCACTTGATCATAATACACAAGGCAAGCAGTTCATCCTGACAAATCATGATGGCTCTACTCCAAGCAAAGTCATCCTGGCCAGGCAAGATTCCACTCCAGGGAAAGTTTTCCTCACAACTCCAGATGCAGCAGGTGTTAACCAGTTATTTTTTACAACTCCCGATCTGTCTGCACAACACCTCCAGGTAAATAACTGTAAAGTGTCTTTTCATCTTGCACTTGAAAAAGTTAAAATGCATATCATAAATAGAAGTTCTGACATTAAGACTTTTGTCCTGTATTCTGTAGGAAAAATCTTGTATAAAATTCTTTGCAGTGCATGTTACCTACGAAGACTGCCCTCTCCTATGTGTCACTATGCCTTTCCTAATGCACATGTAGTTTGGAGAGTTCTTAGTTGCAGTAAGATCCACTCTGACTAGTTTGACCAGGAAGGGATTTAATAAAGGAAATAGCTTAAAGAACTATTGAGAAGGCTGAAGAAACAGGTCTAGGTCAGGTTTCCAAGAATAACTAGTGGAGCGCACTGCAGACCTGACTTCTAAGTGACCTGCTGCTTCTGCACAGTTAGGAAACTGCCAAATCAGGAATGTTTTCTCTAGCTGTAGCTCCAGGACCAAGCTGCCTGGGCCTTGAACAAGAAGCTGCCAAGTCAAGAAGTCAGTGTTACAGATCCCAGCTTTCACTTTGCTTCCTCTGTTGTCAGTTACATTGTCATCGATGAAGCAAGCAGTTTACCCCATGATCTGCTTTAACACTGGAACCCAGTAGTGTAGATTAGCTTTCCGTCATTTTAATTTCACTAGTTATATATTATTTTTCAAAGAGCCAGTTAAGCCGTTTATATAACACCTGCTTATGGTTAGGTATTTTTACTGCAGCTTGCTATGATTGAATACAAATCCAACAAAGTCTTAAGCTTACCTTCAGAGACTTCTGGAAGGAGTGCCTGCTTAAAATTGTAATCTATATTTTGTGATGAAAAACTGATGAAGGAAAATTCTTTTCAGGATTGAAAAACTCCTAATCCATAAAGTATAAAATTTTGCCTATATATCCTAGTAGATTATATTATTTCTCCAGTTACATTATTTATATTATTTAAGAAACTGCTTAAAGTAATAAATGGGTAAGATTTATAAGAAATTTATTTGATCAAGACAAATCACTAAAAATGTAACACATATCTATTTTTTAATAGACTTGATTTTTTTAGATCCATTTTACATTTACAGAAATAATTGAGCCATTAGTACAGTTCCCATATGATTTCCCAACTTCTCACATAACACAGTTCTTCCTATTAAGATTTTACACTAGTCTGATATATTTGTTACAGTTAATATTGATACATTATTAATAAAATCCATAAGTATTTTTGGATTTCCCCAATTTTTACCTAATCCAATATCCTTTCTTGGTTCCAAGATGCCATATTTAGTTGTCCTGTCTTCTTAGACTCCTCTTAAGCTGTGACAGTTTCTCAGACTTTCCTTGTATTTGTTGACCTTGACAGTTTTGAGGTGTACTCATCAGGTATATTCTAGGTTGTCCCATTATGGGACTTTGGCTAATGTTTTCCTCATGGTTCAACTTGGGGTTGTAGGTTTGGGGAGGAGGATCACAGAGGTTCAGTGCCATTTTCATCGTATCATATCAAGCGTACTTATTATCAGTATGTTTTATAACTGGTAATGTTGACCATAACCACCTACTGAAGTAGTGTGTGTCAGATTTCTCTACTATAAAGTTATGCTTTATTTTAAAATAAAGTTAATATTGGTATCTTGGCTACTTTACGGAATATAACTAAGTTCAATAAAATAAATAGATGTAGGATGGAATTCTCCTGGATAAGAAGATTTGATTTCTGGTCTGTTGACCTAAGGTGAAATGTGGGCAAGTCCCTTAACCTCTCAATTTCTCTTCTACCCTTAGGAATAATAGCAGATAAAAGATTAGTACCATTTGCAATAGGTATGCTATTAAGGAATAGTGATACTTGTCATAGATGCTTTAACCTAATATCAGAATTTTTAAGTTTTATTGAAGACTGATTATTGTGGTGATATAAGAAGAAATGATGCCACCATATCACAGTAAGGGAAACCTATTTTAAGGATTGTTTAAAGTTTTTAGAATCAGAATTACTCCTGAAGGCATTCATATCTCTAAGAGAAGAAAAAGAGTTAAAGTAAAAGATTACTTTGTGGATTGTTTTAAAGCAGGGGGAAGATGTTTACTAAATGCCATTATCTAGTTTTGGGATTGAATTACTTTGTTCATGTTTCAGAAGATTTAAAAAAATGGCAAAAAGGTTGAAGGATAAACCTAAAAGAAGAAACTAGTATTTCTTTGCCAGCATTGGATTAGCTGCACCTAGTGATGAGCTCTTCGTATAATTTAAAGAGGCTTAGTAGTTTGCCTCAGGCCTGTCCCATCTAGTTCAGTTACTTGCTACCATTTATCAGATTCCGGAGTCCATGCTTTCAACCTAACCCAAATCTGAGACAACTTTCTAATGAAAAGTTCATGCCATTGCTTATCAGTCATACTTTTCCATAACTGTAAGTAAATACATCAGTAATTTTTTTTCTTTACTCCTTTTCTATTTAAAAAATTCAGTTATCTTTTTAGGCTGTTAGAGCTTATTTTAGTCATGTCATTCCATGTGGAAAGGTGGTTCTGAGCTATTCAAAGACAAATGTCATGATGCGGCTGGTAACTGTCACAATAATTTGACATGTTCCATATGAATAAAAAGTACCTAATGGGTGAGATGCTTTCAGAAATACCCATGTATTTGTGTGTTTAACAATCTATTTTGTTTTAGTGAAACTGTTATGAAACAAATTAGAAAGGTTTTATTCCTGTCTTTACTTTTATAACATTGAAAGTTTTACCTAGACATAAAGAAGAGTTTAATGTATGCATAATGATAGAGTTCAAAGTTTCACAGTAACTTATAAAAAAGCTGAAAGTAAAAGTGTTCAAATTTCATTTTTTACATGAGAGCATTATTGAATAACAACAAATTACTGTGTTTCTTTTTCTTTTTGTTTCTTTTTTTTTTGGCATGGGGCGGGTTTCTTTAGCTCTTAACAGATAATTCTTCAGCAGACCAAGGACCAAATAAGTTTTTTGATCTTTGCGTAGTATGTGGAGACAAAGCATCAGGTAACATTAAAAAGTAATCTTTTGTATTTGTTGTCTTGTTTAAATAACTACCATACTACCATGTTTCTTCTATTGCAAGTAAAAAGAAAAATAAAGGAGCATGTCATTTTTATGATTTATAAATGTAGCCTATGAAATTAAACTGATTTTTCCCCAAAACTTTTTACTCACCTAACAGTTTACTTCACTGCAGTTTACTGTGGTCTTGCAATGACAGAAAATGCATATTTCAAAGAACTATGAAAGACAGTTACATGTTTTAAAGTAAACTGAACATGTGGAAATTTTTTTGAATGTGAAACCATTTTTTTCAAAGGACTTGCTTAAAAATTAGTTGTGATCCTTAATAATACATAATATTAAGCTGTTAACCTATCTCTTGAGCCCTGTTCTCATTCCAGAGATACTGAGTAACTTGAATTACTGAGATGGAAAAAGCTCTGGGTACCCTTTATTTAATGCTTTGCATCACTGAGCAGGCATTTCTCCAAGCCTATTACTAGTAGTCAGGGTACTATTACTAGTACCATTTTAATTCTGGCCATTGTTACTTCATGCCAGAAAAACACACCCATGATCACTCATATATATTCACAAAATGCTAGTGGAATATAGTTTAAGGCCCCAATTTGTTTTCTTTAATCTTTTAGTCTTTCCGATAGCTACGTTACAAAAACCTCCAATAGTGCTTTTCCTAGAGTATGTTTAAGTTGTTGATAGATGTTGTGCCTAAGAAATGGTTTGTGAATTGGTAGGTTCAAATGTAACAGATTTCCCCAGAAATTTAAAAAATAGCACCCACAATGAGGAGGGGTTATTATAGCCCAAATACTGACATTTCCTTTTTTTGGAGCAGTTTTCAGCATAAAATATCTTTATGCAGTATGTAACAACTATAATTTGTAAATGATCTCAGAAGTGAAAACAGTTTTTATGTTAAATCATGGGATTATGGGTTATTTTATTTCTTCTCTTCCCCAAATTTTCCATGCTGTTGCTTAAGGTTACTGTACAAAATTTAAAAAGTCATATTGTTCAGTATATTTTCTCAGAGAATATGGTTGTTTCATTCTCTGTTCACTAACTCCTAAAAATCTTTTTCATGTTGTAAACTCAGAAATCTGTTTTATCTCATATATTGTTTTATAAAGGAAGAAGTGGGCTTACTTCATTTCTATTCTGAAATATATGACTTTTGTTTTCCTAAACATTTTGTCTCTAGGGCGTCATTATGGAGCAGTAACTTGTGAAGGCTGCAAAGGATTTTTTAAAAGAAGCATCCGAAAAAATTTAGTTTATTCATGTCGAGGATCAAAGGACTGTATTATCAATAAACATCATCGAAACCGCTGTCAATACTGCAGGTTACAGAGATGTATTGCGTTTGGAATGAAACAAGACTGTATGTATTAGCTTTAAAGGAGAAAATACTTTTAGGAATTTAGGCAAACTCTAGAAATATGTTAGAATTAACACATTAAAACATATCAAATATATGCTTTTTAATTTATAGTTTTCCAACTATAAGTTTATAAATACATATGTATTTTTTATTCATTCAGCAAATATTTATTAAGTGCGTATATGCCATGCATGTATTTGTAGTTTGAACCTGGTTTAAAAAAAAAAACCACAATTAACTAGATACCAGTTTAGTTTTTGATTAAATTACTAAGATGAATTATAAGATAATGACAATAGCTAATAATTATTGGAACTGTCACTATGCCAAACTGTATAGCATACAAATTAATTTATGTATTTTCATAGCAAAATTCTGTATAGAAGGTAACTGCTTTTGTCCATTTTGCATTTGAGTAAGCAGAGGTTTAGTAACTTGGCCCAAGGTCACACAACAAAAGTGGTAGGTAGAACTTGGATTTGAATCTTGGCAGTTGTTTTGTTTTGTTTTTTCCTCAGAAAATGCAAATTGAACAACTATACTATCCTATCTCCTATACTAATTATCATGAAATAAAATTTCTGTAAGTAAAGTATATTACCTGCATTTTGTAAATTTGAATTACTTCTCAAAACCTCCCTGCCCTTAACTTAAAAAACCTCTGACTTTGTTCTTTTTATGACTTTCTATTAGTATTATTTCCAATTGGTTAAATGTTATTTCAATTTTTGAAACTGTCACACAGATAGGTAAGGAACCCCTAACTTCAGTTTTTCCTTCTTGACAGTAACTAAAAAATAAGAGTTCCTCTGCATTTCTACCACAGCTGAGACAGGGAGAGAGAAAACAATGAGATGCAAATTGGCCTATTTTACTGTTCTGAAGCAACTTTGTTGAACTTGCAGATAATTTCTAAAGACTAATGGTTATCTTTCGAATCGGTTATGGCAGCCATGTCTTCCATTTGCAGCATTGCTGACGTGGAGTTTACATTTACAATTGCCTATAAATTCTGCCTTGTGATATAATAGTTTAATGCATTTTTGTAGCTGTTCAGTGTGAAAGAAAACCCATTGAAGTGTCACGAGAAAAATCTTCCAATTGTGCCGCTTCAACTGAAAAAATCTACATCCGCAAAGACCTTCGAAGTCCATTAACTGCAACTCCAACTTTTGTAACAGATAGTGAAATTGCAAGGTATAATAAAAACAAACAAAACATATATTAAGTAGCTGGTCATTTATTTTTCTTCCCAATGAAACTAAGGCTAAAATGTCTACTTATTTGTTCATAGGTCAGCAGGACTATTAGATTCTGGAATGTTTGTGAATATTCATCAGTCTGGAATAAAAACTGAGTCAGCTGTGCTGATGACACCAGATAAGGTGTGTTTACTGCATTTAATTTAAAATTCAAATTTTTTTAAGCTCTTAATATTTTTTCCTTTTTTATCTCCTGTATCAATCTGGTCAATTACAAGTTGCTTTTTTTTTTTTAACATAAATTATTAACTGTGTGGTAGTGTCAAATAACAAAACTAAAACAACCTAGTAATGAGTTTGACGTCCTTTATTCAAGGGGAAACAGTCCATGGATTTGGGGGAGTGCAGTGCCTTACAAGCAGTGGGACACTCTTCCTGAGGGACTTTGAGCAAAAGCAACTTTTATAGAGCATTAGAAGCCACATTGTGGAAATGGCACGATTGGCTAGGAGGTCAGCGATTTCCTTGTAGTCTCGTCAGTCTTGTTTTGTAGGGTACTGAGTTTTGGAGGATTATGATTGGTGTATAGTAGGTTCCTTGACAATTATTTCCTCTTAAGTGCAGACTGACTTAGGTTTAGATTTGTGACATAGGCCAGGCCACAGAAATACTCATTTCTACTGATGCACTAGTACAGTTACAGCTTCAGCATGAAAGTGACAAACATTTCAAAGTCTTCCATGTTTCTTTCATCTTGAAATAAGCCCTCACCTCAAATAGGAATTTGAGTAATTGCAAAATTCTTAACATTCCTTTTATGTTCCCCAGCAGATTTTAATAGTGCCAAAACACTTAAAATATTTCAGGTGAATAGAAATTCCTAGCTCACTTACCCAAAACATTGACTTCAGTCAAGAATAGGAATAGGATTGCAGGATCTCTGAGGTATCCAAGTCACCTGGGTTCTCTTAGAGATTTGGAGCAGATGTTTATTGAGCAGTGGGCTAAAGGAAAAAAGATTTGTTTATTTAGATTGAGCATGCAGAGTTTCTGTAGTGTTCTGTAACCATGTATGAGAACAAAAAGCAAACATTTCTCCTGAAGACTCATGTCTGAAAACAAATTTTAGGTAGCCTGTGACTAGTATTTCCTTCAGCCTGTAATATAATTGGGCTTTATATAACCTATAAGATTATTCATCCTGTTGCCACATTAGTTATGTACTCGTTGCTTGACACTTCAGGGCAGTCTTTAATACCTGAGCTCTGGAATCACATTTCATCTGCCACTTACTATGTACATAACCTTAGGCAAGTCATTTGACCTCTAGTGCCTCAGTTACCTTTCTCATCTGTAAAATAGAGATAATAAGAGTGTCTACCCTACAGGCTGGCTTTAGCATGTTGTCATTAAGTGAGGAGTTTTGGTCTTGGAATTACAAGATTCATTTAGTCTGTCTATGTAATTCAAACTTCTAATGGCAGTTATAATTTCATTGACATATTAACTCCTTCAGGAAAGGAATAGAACTAAGTTTTGTTGAGAAATTACTAATTTCCCAAACACTCTGCTTTTCTGTGTGCCTTTGTATGAAATTGTAATAATAACCTTATAAAGTTTCTGACAAATGGTCCTAAAACTGTCAAGTCACATGATGAGGTCTTTCTGCATTGCCTAAAAGCATCTTCAGTGGCAAAAACTTAAAAACCCTGTTAGCTAGATATGTTATGAAGTGGAAAAATATAAGTGTTTAAGTTTTAGTTGAAAATTAAAACATCTAAAAATGTTAACTCCTTTTACTCGTATATATAAAAGAAGCCTGGAGTAGTGGTTAGGGGCATGAACCTTCCCATCAGACCTGACTTTCCAATCCTGCCTCCACTATTTACTGCTGGATCATGATAGATAATTAATTCTTCCTGTTTGTGATAAAGGGATGATGATTCTTGTTTCACAGGGTTGTTGTAAGGTGGAAATATGTAAGTAGTAATCATGTAAGAACTCATTAACTGGTTGGTTACTCGGTAAAGGATTCTGAGATCATTCATTAATTTGGGGAGCACAGAAATTGTTTCATTCTACATAAGCACCAAAATCAATTTCACTTAAGCTAAAGAATTGGTAGAACAAACGAAACATCAAGAAAACATGTATTCTCTTAGGATTAAGAACACTAAAAACAAAATAAAGGAAGAATGAACTATATTATTAAAGGATCCTGTCAATAGGCCAGACAAAGCAAACTAAAGGGACTCATAAGATTAGGATGAAATAATTTGAGCATTTAAAAAAGAATGACTAATGAATTAAACACATCAAATATGTAAAAATCTATACCTTTAAACTGATACTAAAAACCTGTTACCATTAGAGATTGCTAGAACATTGATTCATTGCTCTGAAAATTGCAAAATAAAAGGAAGAAAAGCCAAGCACATACCTGCCTTGTTGTTACAAGTTATATTTCTGGGTAATCAAAGAATTAAGGGGAGAGAGTTCTTTCTATAAAAATAATTACGGCTAATCAGTGCATCGTAATACATACACAGCATTAACAAAAATAAAAGCTAAAAACAAATGGGAAAATGTGCAACATTTTCAAAATGCAACAAAAGCCCAAAAATATGTAGAGATTTTTCAACTACACAGTGCCTGGTATTTAAACACAGTAACTAGTAAATTTTGGCATCTTAGGAAGTGTGTTCAATAATACATTTACCTTTTTTCCCTCTTTTCACTAATAATTGTATTACATTCTATACACCTTTGTATATTGAGTGATGTTATAACAATATCAGAATTGTAATGTTAGAAGGAACTTGAAAGATAATCTAATATCTTTTTACAGAGGAAGCAGCTGTGATGTGGATAGATGCAGCTATCAAGTACACTTTTTGGTTTATTGTAACTTTTGTATAAACATTCCCTAGGAAATGTACCTGATGTTTTTAAACTTTTATTTTCCTCAAGAAGTTTTGAAAAGCTCAGAGCTCTTTGATTTTACTTTAATAAAGGTTTCATAATCTTAGAGTACTTTTCTTTTAGCATTTTGTAATCTAGAATTAGATATTTCAGATTTTAAAGTTGACTGAACGCAATTTGATTTTAATAATTTAATACTGATATTAATACAAATTTTAATACTTTTTTTTTTAAGGTTGAATCCTGTCAGGGAGATTTAAGTACCTTGGCCAGTGTGGTTACATCATTAGCAAATTTTGGAAAAACTAAAGGTCATTCTCAAAATAGTAATGAAATGCCTATGATTGAAAGCTTAAGCAATGGTGATACCTCTTTGTGTGAATTTCACCAAGAAATGCAGACCAACGGTGATGTTTCGAGGTGAGGTCTGTTTTCATTTTAAGTGTCCTTTTGCTTATGTGTCCTTTAGTATTTCTTAAAATGTTTTTATGTTGAACACTACAAAAATTTCAGACAAGTGTTTCTGTTAGACTTAGAAAATTTAAGGCCTAGTAAGTTTTAACTGTAAAAACTGCAGTCAGTGTAGAATGTTAACCAGCAGTTTACGTTTTAAATAATGAGCAATTAATGAATATTCTAAGATTAGAAATGTTGTAAAACTCAGGATTTTTTTTTCCCATTAAAGATGATAATTTGGGTCTGGCAGTTCAGATAATGTAGTTGTCATATTTTATCTTCTGTGTATTTAGAGTTAAACTTTTGTCTTATTAGGCAGTCATGGTCATTTTCCCCATCAGCTTCTAATGATGTAAATAGATTTAAAAGACTTAGCTGAATTAACTATAATTTAAAGTTACACTTAGAAAACTCTTATCAGACTTCTTTTTCATTCTCTCAGTATTAATACTTATGATATAGAAACCAGATTTCTTTTTCCACTCTGTTTATCATCTAAAGTGTTGAAGAAGAAACTGCATTTAAGAGTCTCAGTAAGTACTTTGTTGAACGTGAGATTGCAGTCTAGAAGTCATCTCATTGAAAAATATGGAGAACCGTTTCAAATGATTATTTGCTAACAGTTAATTATTTGCCATCTTAATCTCAAATTCTTTCAGTTTAGATCTAGCTATGTTACCACAAGTTTAAAAATACTCTCTGAATTTTTAAATAAAATTAAAACTTTGTGCTGTGTAGAATACAGTGAAGTCAACATAAGTTCTTGTCCTTTGTTCTTTCTTAATAACTTCTGTATGTAAAATAAACAGGCTGATATCTTGTAGTATTGAATATATAACTTGTAAAAACATATTTTCATACCCCAAAGTATAAGGATTTTTCTTCCCCTTAATTACATAGTTTTTTTAAAGACCGTAGTTCCCTCTTAAAATACATTAATACAATAATACGATTTTTCATGCTATACATAAGAGGTTTAATTTATTGCTTTTGGAGAGTGATAGATATCACTGAAATAGAGTGCTCAGTGATACACCTCAGTTCTATTTCCTAAGAAAATTTTTTAAGCCTAAACCTTAATTCCAGGATTTTATGTAGAGTTTTCATTTTATTGTGGAGATTGGCCAAGCTCACAGCTTCTGATGTCTCCTTATAGGGCATTTGACACTCTTGCAAAAGCATTGAATCCTGGAGAGAGCACAGCCTGTCAGAGCTCAGTAGAGGGCATGGAAGGAAGCGTACACCTAATTGCTGGAGACCCAAGCATAAATTACATCGAAAAAGAAGGGCCACTTCTCAGCGATTCACACGTAGCTTTCAGGGTATTTCCATATATATTACTTATAATTTTTATGTTGTGTTACCATTTTGATTTAATCTTCCTTTCAAATCACAGTGTATTTGTTGTGCTTTTAAAGTCAGAAGTATCCCTGATAGAATTCAAAACAGCAGCTAAAACATACATCTGGCTATATAAAATAATGGCTCAGTAAAGCATCCTATTTATAAATCATAGTTATAATATCAATTAATGAGTTTAAGTCTATAAAAATTGGAACATTTAGAATAGTTTTTTTGCTTTGTTTTCTTAACACAAAGTATTAACATTCATGATACGTTGAATGCACTGATTTTGTTCAAAGCTTAGCTACTACTACTTTGGCGTAACTCAGTATCTAAGACCCAAACACTTGGCTCGTATTATAGTAACTACAAAGAACTCCATTTATTATTGCATTGTCCCATTTAGCTAGCCTTCAACATTATTTTAAGAAGGTAAAAATTATTTAATATATTTTAACCTTCGGTTTTTAACTTTTTTCACTTTAACCATTTTGGAAAAAGTGCATTTGTAATTTATTTTTGGCTCCCCTAAATACATTAATTTATGGTAGAAACAATACATGTGGAATATTAGAAAAACTTCCTAGCATTTGATTTGTCATTCAGATAATGTTCAGACCACAGCTGTGGCTATGCTGACCACTTAGGCCCTGCATTAAGACCCTGATGCTTTGACCCCTCCAATAGTAACCACTCTGTGTCTTTGGTCTGCCAACTATGAGTACTGTTAGCAAATTGTATGCAAAGTGGTTGAAAGTGATGCTGCGGTTCTTGTTTGTGGAGTCAAAGAGGGAACTTAGCAAACACCCAAGGTAGGAGAGCCAAGGTAGAGGCCTTTATTTAGAAATAAAGTGAGAGGACAGAGCTCCTGGTGGACAAGAGAGCCCGTGATGGTAGATTGTTTAGGGGATTTATAGTAGGTTGAGGATTTTCAGGAATGTGGGTAAAGAGCTAGGGGTGTAGACCTGTACCACTTGCCCTGACCCCAAGGTGGGCTGGGTTGTTGTCTGTTTGCTAGGGCTGTTTACAGTAAAGTCACGGGTTATGCTGAGATACCCTTCTTTATTTGTGGAAGACTCAAACATTCCAGGCCAAGTGGCTCCTGGCCTTTTGAGCTTTAACTGATCTTGCTGAATATGTTTATATTTCTAGTCTGGTACCTTTACCCTAGAGAATTAGTGTGACCTTGACTTTGCATAATGCTTAACAGAGTTTCAGTAGGGACTTCTTTGCACATTGTTACATTGCTCTGACTGTAAATATCCTGCCTTGCATTTTCCAGAGGCCCTCACCCTACTCTGACTACACCCACAGTCCCTGTCTCAAAAGTACAGAGAAGATTTCAGTTAGCAATACACAGCAGTCCTAGAATACCTGAGAGTAGTTCCTTATAACCTTACTATAGATTGTAAGTTTTCATTGGCATGCACAGTTAACAAAAGATATGTGTGTTACTGGTAAAATTATGAACATACAAAACATCTAACACTAGCTAAAACTACACTGAAAACATTTGCATCTGCAAAATTTGACAGTAGAAATAGGCACAGAGAAAACTCACAGTGACTTAATGATTGCTATAATTTGATACAGTCAATAAAACATATCAACTAAAGCAAATCTTCATATAAAATTTTACCAAAGGTAACATGTGGAAAAAATTATAAATGTTTTGTTTGCACTGTACAAGAAAAATTTTTGTGAGGACTATAAGAAATGCTAATGGCAATAATCAGCGCCACCCTTAAAAATAATGTAGTAGGAGCTATGGACAAGAGTGGAGCAAAGCAAATCTGATTTTTCCTGTTGCTCTTTATTTCTTATTCAAAATAAAGACATTCTTTTGTTGTCTTAGTTTTATTTTCTGCCTTTGCATTTAAATGAAAAGGAAAGGTTTAAGACATATAGAAAGAGGACCCATTGCAAGAAAGAATTGGAAGTAGTCCATCCTTTTTTATTGTTGATGTTGGTCTTCAGAATTTTTGATTCTGCAAATACTTGTTTTGAACAGTTTAATTAGGCAAATTACCACTTTGTTTTTTGTCTTTCTGGAATTAGCTTTTTTCCATCCCATCTTTGACCTGCTATGCTCTGGGTATCTTCAGAATCAACACTATAAAGTTTCTTGCTCTCCTGAAAAAGACAGCTTCTTCTTTCATTCTTATTTACAGACTGTGAAATCAAGAGTTTTACTTTTCAGTGACTTCCCAGCCCAGTACCTTCGTGGTTAATTCTCCCATTCAGGTTTTAGGGTAATGAATTTGAAGACCTGACATCTATATACAAAAACTCAATTCTCTCTTAATTGCTGAGCTAAAAAAAAACATTTTGTTCCTTTCTTATATATTTATGATGGTGTAGTTCGCTGCATGATTTTGTGTACATTCTTTCATTTGAGCTTTACCACAGTCTGTCAAGGTTTGGGTTTTTGTGTCATTTGAGAGAGAAAAGAAATTTGGTGGTTTTCAATGTCATGTTCAAAGCTTTCTAGACAGTAGGAAGAAATGGTCTAATGCACTTTTTGATACTGAAAAATCAGACAATAGACTATTTAACATTTTTATTAAACTTAAGAGTTTTTGTTGTGATTTCATAAACTTCATCCACTTGAGTCTTAAACAATTTCCTTGTACAAATAATCAAGGGGAGTAATGTTTCCATTTAGAAATAAATGTATGAGACAGAAGTAGGTGATTTCCAAAACTGTTGTCTTCCAAAGCTGCTGAGGTATTACCTCACCATTAGCATCACAGTCCTTCTAGTCACCATGTTGGACGTTTGGCAGTCATTGTCATTGTCCCCATGCCTCACTCCCCTCCATTTCCTAACTGGATCCAAACCATTCTATTGTTTGAATTTCTCCCTACCTCTTCACTTTCCTCACTCTATTTTAGGCCTTTAAAATTTCTTACTTCAACCGTTAGCAGCAATATCTTTGCTTCCAGTCTCTCCTCTCCATTTTGTTATATGCACTGGCAACAGAGTGATACTTATTAAAAATCAATCCAGTTAGTTACTCTGCTACCTAAAAGCCTTCAGTAACTTTGCCACTGCCCATTTGAGATAAAGTCCGTGACCTTTTAGGACCTTCCACATTCTGATCCAGTTGTCCATCATTTCTCAGATGTCCCAGTCCCTTTCTTAGCCCTTTCTATATCTCATTCAGTTTTCACTTGATTCTTTTATTAAGACTGCAGCACTTAGCTTAGTGGCTCACAGTGAAGTTTCAGTAAATGATTGCTGAATTATAATATGTAAGCCAGAGTGTCACCACTAATTAATGACAAGTTGGGAGTAGAATCCAGATGTCCTGCCTCAAGTCAAATGATTTTTTAAAAGCTTTATCATCCAGCCTATTATCAGTATTACATATAGAAACAGCTGGAAAGGTAATCATAGACAAGTAATAACTTCTAAAATATCGAAGTTTAGTTCATGCCAACACTCTTCTAAAAAATTATTTCACTATATTATGTGTGTATAATTTGAAAAATGTGTATAATTCAATTTATAAAAAGTCCACAGACATTTTGGAGAAGCTTTAAAACCTTTGTAGTAGAAACTTTAACCTCTCTATACAAAGGAAAAAATCTTTGTCTTTGTAATCTAAAAGACTTGCTAAATAAATTCTTGTTTCTTCAGCCAGCATTTGCTTTCTAATTCGTAATGCTGGAGGTGTATCTTAAAGAAAATTAAATATGTAAAACAGATAAATTACTAGACATTTCCTCTCATTACAAAATAAGTCTTTTAAATAGTGAGTTCCTATATATTGCAAACAATTGCTATTTTATGATTAAAGCAACAGAAAGTTCTCAACATTCTGTAACTTTTATCCCTTATATCCAATTTTTACATATCATAAGTATTTTATTTGTTTAAAAGCAATTTTAAACTATTTAGCAAAGAGTATTCTTTGTTGCTTTGCATCTTATTCCTCCCCCCAAAAACTAGTAATCTGGTAATTCCCCAAATTTTTCGGGCTTTTTTTTCTCTGTTCACCCTAGGCAATTCTGAAAAAGGTATGGTAGTCCCCAACTTGTTTTATACTTATTGTATAGAAACAGTTGCATCCTAGTAAATACATTAAAGATGTTCGATATCTGCTTACCACAATTCTGTGCACTGTCTTAAATAACAGTATTTTAATTTACTGCTCCAGTAAGCATTTCCCAACATTTAAAAAAATTATCTTCTCATATGTGGAATTTCAACTGTTAATTGCCCCTATTGTTATATTACTGCCCACCATTTATAAATAGATAAACCATTTGTGGCTAATACTGGACAAAGGCAGTTAATTTTTTTACATTTTTATCTAACATTTCTAGAGAACTTTTATATCATTTTGATGAAAATCTTTTGATCTGTTTGGCATCATAGACACATTAGAGAATCTGGTGAAAGTTATATATACCCATTCCCCAGGAAAAACACATAATAATAGCCCACCCCAGAGGTAGCCTACCACTGCTAACTGTGGCTCTGTCTGAAAGGACTATGTCCTTTATTTATATATATGCATAAACATTCTCTTTCTCTCTCTCTCTTCCCCTTTAACATAAACTGAGTCATCTATATATTATTTTGCATTTTTTTCCACTTAGATACCTATGAGATGTTTTCTCTATACTGTTACATCTCAGTTAGATCTCAGTTTATCCCAATAATTTTAATACCTACAAGGTACTGTGTAGTGTGGATTATTCTTTACTTTAGTGAGGGAAACGTGGGTTAATGTTTCTTATAGGTGAAATTATATTTCATTTATAACAATAAATGTTCCCTTTAACAAGATTTTGAAAAATGCTTTTAGAAATGTTTTAATGTAGGATATATATTTTTAACAGTGGTCACACATTTAAAATATCTAAGAAAAAATACATAAGTAATAAAATACCTATTGGTGATCAGCAGTACAAGCTGACAACCTGTGAATTATTATAGCCACAGACATTTTGTTTTGTTTGTAGATTAAATGGGGAGACTCACACAGAATCTGCTCTTTGAAAAATTGAAAGAGCAGGCAGTACTGATTCCAAATTCCTCTGTTTTCATTGTGTTGAATTCAAGTCACAGCTGTGCACTTTACATGGGAATATGCACTTCCCATATGGCACCAGCAGGCCTGCTTCACTCACAATTCACCTTTCCCTATAAGCATTTGAGTTTGTTATCCCCATAGTCTAATGAAAGGGATATTTAATGTAAAGGATTACTCCTTAAACTGAATTTGTGGTATAATGTTGTTAATAAAGGGAGGAAAGGAGAAGGCACATTGTTGACCAAGACAGAAAATAACATTTAAAAACACAACCAGATAATATCATGGCTGGTATTTATTAAATGGGATTCTGCTTGTCTAAGTATTGCTTTATGAGCAACTGATCTACTCATTTATTCTAAATCCTATTTTTAGTTATAAAACTGAGTAACTTGGTTTATTTCAGCATTTGCCTTTTGGTGAATAAATGTGACTCATATTTGATATGTGTACATTCAACTTTTTGAAAGAAAGGGTAATTTTAGAACTGTCCATCATAAGATAATTTACCTCAATCCCTGTTCACACTAGCTCACCATGCCTTCTCCAATGCCTGAGTACCTGAACGGGCACTACATCGGGGAGTCTGCCTCCAGACTACTGTTCTTATCAATGCACTGGGCACTTTCAATCCCTTCCTTCCAGGCTCTAGGGTAAGTGTTTTGAAGTCCTTGAATATAAATATAATTTTGTAGCACAAGTGTCCAGTAAGCAAGAATTTCTATTTTGGAAGAATTTGCATTAAAGGAAAAAAATGGCATAATATTATAACTCTAAATAAGTTGTATAATTTATATGACTAATCATGGTATCTAGTATTTTCTGTATACAGTTTTTATGTGGGAGAGTATTCATGTTTCATAATTTGACTAAGCTAACAATTCTCATGAATATATGCAAGTGGAGCTAATAAATCAGGGCCAGCATTTGTAATAGGCTGTCTTTGACTTAAAGATAAGGAGGCTATGGATGTCGAAGAATTGTTTCCCTCCCACCACCACTTTTTCAGTGTTCATCTAACACATGTTATAAAGAGATGAAGCTTATATACAGTGAATATGTTGAAAAACAGAAATAATTATTTTCTAATTGTGTGATTACCAAAATGGGGGAAAGGGGATAGTTTTCCCATAATACTACTATTCTAATTTAGAAGTTGGGTCCTACCACTGAAGAGCACATCTATATCCAGATGATAATGGAAAATGGTCTGCTATAAGAAACCTAAGCTTTACCTGAAGTTTGCCCAATTTCTTTATATTGCTTAAAGTAATTGGTATAAAGAGGCAAAGAGATTAAGGAAAAAGTTGAGTGCATAATTAGGAAAGCATTTTTCTAGTTCAGAATCCTATTCACCAGTATGATTTCATAAACAGTTCGCTTTTATATTCTGTATGTCTGTATTCCCATTTGCCAAAAAGGAATAATAATTGTCATCCTTTTTTCCTACAGATTATTTTTAGTATAACTAGGAAACATCGTAAGACTTTATTTAAAAGGCATATACATAGAACCCAACTATAATTTGGGTTATTAATCAGTGTTGGATATACCATGTATTAAATCATGCATTTAACTAATACAATTACACAGACTAAAAGCCTGACTTAGAATGGTTAACCTTTAAAATGATTGTTAGCCTTTTCTTTCAATGTAACATTTAATTTTCAAAATTTTTCCAGTCTGTTGAAAAAATACAATGTGAATTTACATGCTAGGAGTTTATTTTAAAGCATTAAGTGTAGTTCCCTAAACTTGTAATTGGCATACTTATGCCTTGAAAAGTAACCTGGTGATATTTTTTATACTAAGTTGTCAAATTATTACAGCTAAAACAACAAAAGGATGGATTTTTAGGAAGTGATGTAAACTCCTTAATAAGATATTTCCTTTAAGTGTGATTATCCTATGGAAATGATCCAAATATTGAAGAACCCAAAAGTAAAGTTTGAGGTTTCCAGTTACAATATAACTTTATAGTGCAGCCACATTTCCCTGTGATCTGTATTGAAAATTGGTTTTAATGTAACAGTCAAGGACATAGTAAGAATTTACTATTGGTGTAGCATTTGAGGCCATTAATTGCTACATAAGCTCTTATTTATTATCCCTATCTAGATAATTTCAAATTAATCAGGTGGATGAAGACTGAGTACTAATTATTGGAAATATTGTCATGTAGCAATAAAAGCTGAGTCTCCTAGAAACTGTCATTGGTTGCATTTTTATCTCTACATACAAAACTTGGAAGTAGAAACTTAATTTAACAGAAAAACAGACAAGCAACACGAATCATTTTCTAAAAGTCGAGTTTGTTTTGCTTACTTTAATGGAGGGGAAGAATAGCTTAAAGAATCTTAAAACAGTGGGTGGTTAATATTATTTGTATTTTATAAGGCTTCTGTGTTTTACAAGGATGTTGCTTTTCTGTTTAAGATGGATAGTTTCAATACCTACAGGAATTCAGTTGTTTTTCATATCTACCTGTATAATTTATATAAGTGACTACTTGGCAGTAGATTCAGTTAGGGCCACTGGGCATGATTTATCTAGAATAATGGCAGCAGTCCTTTCTACCTACAGTCTTAGAACCAGAACTTCCAAGATACTGCTGTTTGCCACAGGAAATTTTCTTTGTTGAATAATTTAAGAAACCTTCCATTAATGATAAGCCTGAAAGTTCAGTCTTTTAAAATCCCACTGAAGCAATGTCATAGCTATAACTGTGGTTTGAAACCAGCTCTGTTGCCGTATCACTGACTATTTTTCTCTAAGGGCCATGCCTTCATTTCAAACAGATGCTGCAGGTAAAGATGGTGCCTTGGGTTTATTTCTATAGAAGCCAAATGGTTACTTTATCCCCAGGGATAGGTGACTTTAAAAGTCATATTCCTTTACCAAAATAAATAGTATGCACAATGATCTGATCTTGAATTATGAGTGCTACATACAATACATATTTTAATGAACATTAATACAGTGCAGTAGTTAAAGAAAAATACCTATACCTACTTGTAAAAGAAGTTGACTTACGTTTAAGCACTTAATGTTTTTATTTGTTAACGCTTGTATTGCTTTCAGTGTCCCTACCTGAAACTTTAATTACCTCCTCTACACAGCTCCTTTTACTTTTCAAAGGAAAGATGTTTTGAAAATAGTATAATGTGACTACAATAGTTGTTTTGCAGAACAGGAAAAAACTGGTAGCAAACATGTCCTTACTATTGCCATTTACACTGTTACTATAGCTTTTGGGGGTGTCTCTACTGAGACCTTCGACTTTAGCATTTTACCTACTAAAATTTATAATGATTTATAAAAGAGCATGTGCTTTGAACACCTGGGTTCAAATTCCAGATTTATCCATCTGCTCAATTTGTTACCTAACTAGGCTCCATTTCCATGTCTGCAAATTCTGAACACAAGTGCTTCCTTTGCGGGCTCCTGCACTGCTTCTGTGAGTAAACTTACTAGCCCTGTGCTGCTGCAAAGTAGATAGTGTTTGTTGTCTTCATTCTCTTAGGAACTTTTGTCCCTTCAATTTTGCTTTGTTATACTCCATAAATGAGTGAAATCATTTGGCACTTGTCTTTTTCCGCCTGGCTTATTTCACTGAGCATAATACCCTCTAGCTCCATCCATGTTGTTGCAAATGGTAGGATTTGTTTTCTTCTTATGGCTGAATAATATCTCATTGCTACTCACTCGCTTTTCTGTATACTTGAACATTTTCCTGAAAATTTAACACATTTTAATTCAAGATGACAATGAAAAGCTTCTAGCTTATCTTTATTGATAAGCAGACAAATATACATCTGAGTGTCTTCTAGGTATAGATACTGTGGTGGATACAAAGACACAAGGCATGGTTTCTTCCTTTAAGAAGTTGTAATACATGTGAAGTGACAGGATTTTTATGCAAGTGATGTCAACAGAGTGAGATAGTATAATGATGGATTTTTTAATATTGCACCGTCCTTGTATCCCTGGAATAAATCGCATATGGATGATCTTTTTGAATTCGGTTTGCTAATATTTTGTTGAGAATTTTTGCATCTATGTTCATCAGGGATATTGGTCTATAACTTTCTTCCTTCCTTCCTTCCTTTTCCTTTTCCTTTTCCTTTTCCTTTTCCTTTTCCTTTTCCTTTTCCTTTTCCTTTTCCTTTTCCTTTTCCTTTCCCTTTCCCTTTCCCTTTCCCTTTCCCTTTCCCTTTCCCTTTCCCTTTCCCTTTCCCTCCCCTCCCCTTCCTTTCCTTTTCTTTTCTTTTCTTTTCTTTTCTTTCTTTTCTTTCTTTTTTGTGGTGTCCCCATCTGGTTTTGGTATTAGAGTGATGCTGGCTTCATAGAATGAGTTTGGAAGTATTCCCTCCTCTTCTACTTTCTGGAAAGCTTTAAGGAGGATGGGTTTAGTTCTTCCTTAGATGTTTGATAAAATTCAGCTGTGAAGTTATCTGGTACAGGTGTTTTGTTGTTAGGTAGTTTTTTTGATTACCAGTTCAGTTTCATTGCTGGTAATTGGTCTGTTCAGATTTTCTGTTTCTTCCTGGGTCAGTCTTGGAAGGTTGTATTTATGTAGAAAGTTGTCCATTTCTTCTAGATTGTCCAATTTTTGGACATACAATTTTTCATAGTATTCTCTAATAATTCTTTGTATTTCTGTTTATGTGTGTAGACTTTTTTTCTTGATAAGTCTGGCAAGGAGATTATCTATTTTGTTTGTTTTCTCAAAGAACCAGCTCCTGGTTTCATTGATTTTTTTTCTGTTTTATTTCTCTCAATTTTATTTCTTTATGCTCTAATCTTTATTATGTCCCTTCTACTGACTGTGGGCCTCATTTGTTCTTCTTTTTCTAGTTTCATTAATTGTGAGTTTAGACTGTTCATTTGGGATTGTTCTTTTTTCTTGAGGTAGGCCTGTATTGCAATATACTCCCCTCTTAGAACTGCCTTCACTGCATCCCACAGATTTTGGGGTGTTGAGTTGATTTCATTTGTCTCCATACATTGCTTGATTTCTGTTTTTATTTGATCATTGATCCATTGATTATTTAGGAGCATGTTGTTAAGCCTCCATGTGTTTGTGGGCTTTTTTGTTTTCTTTGCATAATTTGTTCCTAGTTTCATACCTTTGTGGTCTGAGAAGCTCGTTGGTACAATTTCAGTCCTTCTGAATTTACTGAGGCTCTTTTTGTGGTCTAGTGTATGATCTGTTCTGGAAAACTTTCCATGTGCACTTGAGAAGAACATGTATCCTGCTACTTTTGTATGATGAAGTTCTGTAGAAGTCTTTAGGTCTGTCTGTTCTCATGCATTGTTCAGTGCCTCTATCTCCTTATTTATTTTCTGTCTGGTTGATCTGTCTTTTGGAGTAATGGTGTGTTGAAGTCTTCTAAAATTATGCGTTGAATTCTATTTCCCCGTTAATTCTGTTGGTACTTGTTTTACATATTTAGATGTTCCTATATTGGGTGCATAGGTATTTATAATGGCTATATCCTCTTGTTGGACTGACCCATTTATCATTATGTAATGTTCTTTTTCTCTTGTTGCTTTCTTTTTTTTAAATCTATTTTGTCTGATATAACTACTGCTACTCTGGCTTTTTTCTCCCTATTATTTGCATGAAATACCTTTTTCCATTCCTTCACTTTGAGTCTGTGTATGTCTTTGGGTTTGAAGTTAGTCTCTTGTAGGCAACATATAGATGGGTCTTGTTTTTTTATGCATTTTTTAATTCTGTCTTTTGATTGGTGCATTCAGTCCATTTATATTTAGGGTGATTATCAATTGGTATGTACTTAGGTTTTAGATTTTTGGTTACCAGAGGTTCAAGGGCAGCTTTCTTACTATGTTACAGTATCTTAACTCACTTATTACACTATTTCAAACACAATCTAAAGGTTCTTTTTTCTCTCTGTTCCTTCTTCTTCCTCCTCCACTCTTTATATATTAGATGTCATATTCTGTACTCTTGTGCATCCCTTGGCTAAATTTGTGAGTAATTGATTTAATTCTTTATTTGCTGAATAATTAATTGGTCTACTTCCTTTACTGTTGTTTTATTTTTTCTAGCAACAACTATTTAGCCTTAGGAGCACTTCCATCTATAGCAGTCCCTTTAAGATACACTGTAGAGATGGTTTGTGGGTGATGAATTCCCTCAACTTTTGCTTATCTGGAAATTGTTTTATCCCTTATTCAAATTTAAATGATAATCTTGCCAGATAGAGTATTCTTGATTGGGCACCCTTCTGTTTCATTGCATTAAATATATTTAATGCCCCTCCCTTCTGGCCTGTAAGGTTTCTGCTGAGAGGTCTGCTGATAGCCTTATGGGCTTTCCTTTATAAGTGATCTTTTTTCTCTCTCTGGCTGCTTTCAGTACTCTCACATTGTTCTTGATCTTTGCCATTTTAATTATTATATGTCTTGGTGTTGTCTTCCTAGGGCTCCTTGTGTTGCGAGATCTGTGCACTTCCATGACCTGAGAGACTATCTCCTTTCTCAGATTGGGGAAATTTTCAGCAGTTATTTCCTCAAAGAGACTTTCTGTCTCTTTTTCTCTCTTCTTCTTCTTCTGGTACCCCTATAATGCAAATATTGTTCTGTTTGGATTGGTCACACAGTTCTCTTAATATTCTTTCATTCTTAGCAGTCCTTTTTTCTCTCTGTACCTCAACTTTTTTGTTTTCCTGTTCTCTAATTTCTATTCCATTTACCATCTCCTCCACCTTATTTAATCTACTTTTAAATCCCTCCATTGTATGTTTCATTTCAGGTACTGTATTTTTCAAAGTTTGTCTTTGTGGAAGTCCTCCCTGAGATCTTGAATATTTTTCTGTAGCTCTGTGAGCATGTTTCTGTGTTTTATTTTGAAATCTTTATCAAGAAGATTGGTGATTTCAGTTTCATTGAGCCCTCTTCTGGTGTTTTCTTCCTGAGGTTTTGTTTGGACCAAATTCTTTTGCCATTTCATCTTTTTTAGTGTTTCCTATGAAATAATAACTTTGTATAGGCAGTACTCTCTAGTGCCCAGAAACTGTACTCTCTGGAGCTGCCGAGCACCTGAAGCAATGGCAGGGGTCGCATGAGAGCGGAACCAGTGCCAGCCAGGAGGAAAGAGCTCATTTTTGCCTTCCCAGCTGTAATGCCTGCCTCCACTGCCAGGTCCAGTTGGCCAAGCGTGCAGGGAGGAGCCTCTGTGCTTCGTCCCTGTAGCTGCCATATGCGGAGCCACCCCCTGGCTGGCCTGGCACCATTGCCAGGGAAGTGGGTGTGCAGCACCAGTGTCTGCCTCTGCCTGGAGGATGGAGTGGCAGGCTGCATACCCCAGTGGGCTGCCTTGCCAGCTGGAGGGATGGAGCGTCTGAAGCTCCTGAGGGTTCCTAACCTGCTGGACTGTGTGCCAGAATGATTTTGTCCACTCATTCCTTCTCCTGAGCAGTGAGCTCTGTGTAATGTTTGCCACTTTAGCACCCCTCTTGTTGCTGAGAAGTCTCAAACTGCCAGCCTTTCTTTTGTCTTAGGGGGACTGGTTGTGCATACCTGTTCTCCACAGGCAGCTGGAATCTCAGGTCTCTCCCAGTTTTCCACCCATCTTTGCTTTCCAGCCCCACTAATCTCCAGAGCACATGTAATGTGGGTTGTGCTCCCAGAGCAGATCTCCAAGGCTGGGTGTTCAGCAGTCCTGGGCTTCTACTTCCTCCCCTCCCTGCTCTGTTTTTCTTCCTCCCACCTGTGGGCTTCTGGTAGGGGGAAGGCTTGGATCCTGCTGGATCACAACTTTGCTGGTTTACCCTTTTCTGTGAGGTCTTCTTTTCCTCAGATGTAGGCAGTCTGTTCTGCAGTCGTTGCTTTTCCAGGGTTAGTTGTACTTGCTGTATGTTTTTGTTTTATGTGATTTTGGGGAGGAGGTTTCTGCCTTCTCACACCACCATCTTTTTTAGCTTCTCTTTGCCTTTCTTTTTACACTTCTATGATGTACTTGTTCTTATGTCTATATACATGTAAATTTACTCTTCTTCATTTTATGCTTTATTATATTCATTTATGCCTTATTAGTAGACATTTGGGTTCTTGCTAGTTTTCCTTGCTAATATATCCAGTGCTACAGCAATATATATATCATATATATTTTTTTGCCTACCATTGCTGTACTTCTATGAAGTAGGTTCTTATAAGTAGAATTGCTCTAAGAGGATGTACACTTTTCATATGTATTATCAAATTGGCCTCTAAAAAGATACTCTACCAGTTTACACTCATTAGTAGTGTATAAGAATGAAAGCTTATTTTCTTACACCCTCCTCAATTCTGAATTTCACCAATTTTTTTCTGGCAAAGGATAATGATATCTAGTTATCTTTTTTTTTTTTTGAGTTTGAAGTTATAATCACTCTTTATAAGAAGAATTTTAAATACTGATATTCTTTTTATTTAAGCTTCACTTACAAATAGATTTCAATTGCTATTAGAAATTAGGAATACCCTAGATGTTTTTTTTTTTAAGTTCTTCCCAATCTTTCTCTACTCAAATGTCACTCCTGAGAAAGGTGTTCTAGGCACCTTACCTGAACCTCTCCCTCACTTTCCAGTGCATTATCCTACATTACAGTAATGTAGAATTTTTATTACCGGTAACTAACAGTGTATGTATAACCATATACATAATTCTTGGGTATTTGCATTTCATAGTAATGCTGAGAAAGATACAGGACACATGGTTTCTCTGCATTTTATATAGCTAAACAGCTGAGTCCTGGGAAGCTTATTTGCCTAATTTTAAATGGATAATAAGTGCATGATATAGGTTTAAAAACCCTGATGTCTGGGTTTCTATTCTAATACTTTTCCTACTCGCTCATGTTCCTGAGATTTCTTAAGTTCAGGGAAGGCCTTCTGGCCTTATCTTACTTACTCCTAGAAAAATCTTGTATCTTATAGGGATACTAGTATCCCATTTGAAACATACTTATAGAATAAGCCATTTCTCTAGAAAATGGTTGCTTACCTACCATCAAATACTTCTAATTGCCCTTTTTAAGAAGGATTTATCTGCATTTAAAGCAAAAGAAAACTTGGGAAAGTTTAATACGCTTTTGCTTATAATTTTTTAAACATTATCTGTTTATATGAAATGTGGGATTAAAGCCCAAATTTTTAGTTTGTAGTACACTTGCAAATGTTCATATAAACTGGCTGATTGATTATTGAACTATTATTTAAATTTATAAGCCTTCCTCATCATTTGCAGTCATCTATGCAAAACAGAATTGATCAAGCCCATGCCCAGTTGGTCATTCTAGGATAATTTTTATTTCAGTAATAATTTATTTTTAAATATGTGAATCAGTTGTAAAGTTTTAAAAATATATATTAATATCTGATATGTGTTTGTTTTATTTTAATAGGCAAGAAAACAGCATATCATTGGTGAAAGCTTACTGGAATGAACTTTTTACTCTTGGTCTTGCCCAGTGCTGGCAGGTAATGAATGTGGCAACTATATTAGCAACATTTGTCAATTGTCTTCATAGTAGCCTTCAACAAGGTAAAAAGCACCTTTATTTATTTCCTTTTGCAGGATATAAGAGGGGCATGTCAGTCTTAGAAAGTGTTATGATTAAAGTTAGACATCTGATGATTATATTGTAGCTTTTTACTTTGTTGTATTTTCATAAATTCATTCATCACCCAAAAATATTTTTCAATAAGAATACAATAAAATTGAAACAAGTACATATATAAGTCTGGCAGGCTATTTCTGACGGCTTTGTAAATTTTTGCACTTGGACATAGGTAACAAAGAGTCCAGGCTTAGCTTATATAGAGGTGACCAAATATTCAGAAATGTGTACTTGCCACCAATTTTTAAATTGCCTTTCTTTATTGTAGCCTTTTGAATCCCAAAGTCAGCTATTTTTTTTTTTTTGTCAATTTATCAAAATATGTTCTTTCACTTAAACAGTACCTAAGAGTCACAGAATAATCCTCCCTATCCTTTTCTTCATGCCAAGGTGATTACAATTCTTATTTTGAGGAAAGAGGCAGTCAGTGATTTTTAAATGTCTAACTTCAGAATGGGTTGTGACCTACCAAGAGAATACCCCATCCTCAAATGGGAAGAACTGCCTTTTGAGTTAAGGAATGATTTATAAATTGGGAATTATATTTTATTTCCTTAGCATATTCCATTTCCTGTTTTGCATTTTTAAATTACCTCCTCCACCTGTTGAAGGGGAAAGAAATCACCTTAAAATCTTATCAACTAGAAGGCAGCACTACATTTTCATCTTATTCATGGACTCCTGGTCTTGATTGATCTCTCATAAATTTGAAATACAGCCTATGGATAACTAATCAGATGCGTTTTAAACAAAAACTCATTAAATTCAAAAAGGTACTATAAAACTTAACTTTACTCAACTTTTTTTGGTCTTGGCAGTGTTTTTTGCTAAATAATTGTTTTTATTTCAGTAATGTTGGTAACTTCTAAAACTAAATGATTTTGCTCTTTTTTTCCAACCAGTATAAGCTTAAAAATAAAATCCTGTTATAAAATTTGAGTCTTTTATTCTTTGGTTGGCCAGCTTTTCAGGTGGTTGTCTTTGCAGTTTACTTCTCAGAGGTATATCTTGAAAGTTCTGTTTGGGTTTTTTTATACTAACAGCTTGTTTTGTTTTTTCTTAAATGAACCTTGTATGAAGATCATTAATTACTTTCATCTGTTCCTGCAGAGATACTGAATTAAAAAAATTTCTAGATAAATTATATTCAAAGCTAGAAATTAGTGAGAAGGAACTACATTGGATGAAAATAGTGATGCATGTGTTAGCTGAAAACTAGAAGTCTTTGTTTGTTTGTTTTAAATTAAAGATAAAATGTCAACAGAAAGAAGAAAGTTATTGATGGAGCACATTTTCAAACTACAGGAGTTTTGTAACAGCATGGTTAAACTCTGCATTGATGGATATGAATATGCTTACCTAAAGGCAATAGTACTCTTCAGTCCAGGTATATATATATAAACATTTACTTCTTATTAAAATACACTATTAGAGGGTGTGGAGAAATTGGAAACACCATACACTGTTGGGGGGAATGTAAAATCGCACTTAAAGTGGAAACAACCCAAGTGTCCATCAGTGAATTAATAAACAAAATGCAGTTGACACATACAGTGGGGTATTAACCAGAGAAGGAGTGAAATTCTGATACGTGCTACAACATGGATATACCTTGAAAACAGTATACTGAGCGAGTATACTAAGCGAAAGAAGCCAGTCACAAAAGACCACACACTACATGATTCTACTTATATGAAAAAAGCTAGAATAGACAAATCTGTGGAGACATAAAGTAGGTTCATGACTATCAGAGACCAAAGAGAGGGGAGACTGGAGAGTGACTGCTAATTAGGTACAGAATTTCTTTTAGGTTGACAAAAATGTTCTAAAGTTAGATTGTGTTGATGGTTGCACAACTCTGAATAGTCTAAAAACCATTGAATTATACACTTCATTGAATTTTATGGATATTAGACTTCAGATGTTTGTGAATCTGTTACATTATTGGTATGGAAAGGAAAGTTGAAGAAATTAGTGACATGATTAGTTCTGTGAGTTCTGTTGTCACAGCAACGTTTGAATTCTTAGGTATACTTTCTAGGCATCATTAAAAGGCAGAATGACAGATGAGTATTGATTTTTTAATGGGTTAAATTGCCAAACATCTTCATAGTGTTACCAGCAAATAGAAAAATGTTACTCTAATTTTCCTGCCAGTTTTTTGTTTCCATATATAGTAAATAGACAGTAAACTCAGTGATCAATTTCTGAATAAGAAAAATTGTTCTTTTTTTTTAACTGAAGTATAGTTGATATACAATCTTATATTGGTTTCAGGTGTACAACACAGTGGTTTAACAGTTAGACGCATTAAATCCTCACCTCCAGTTACTATCTGTCAACATAGGAAGATGTTACAGAATCATTGGCTATATTCTCCATTCTGTACTACCAGCCCCTTGACCAACTTATATTATGATAGAGATTTTTGTGCTTCTTTATCCCCCTCACCTTCCCCACCCACCCTCTTTAACCCCTCCCCCTTGGTAATTACCAATCACTTCTTAGTCTCTATGAGTCTACTGCTATTTTGCTCATTTTGTTTTGTTTTGTTTTTAGATTCCACAAATAAGTGAAATCATATGGTATTTGTCTTTCTCCACTTCACTTAACATAATACTCCCAGGTGCATCCATGTTGTCACAAATGGCATCATTTCTTTCATTTTTATGGTTAAGTAATATTCCATTGGCTATAAGTACCACATTTTCTTTAATCATTCATCTATTGATGGACACTTAGGTTGCTTTCATATATTGGCTATGGGTGCATTTATCTTTTGAGTCATATTTTGTTTTCTTCAGGTAAATTCCTAGAAGTGGATTTACTGGGTTGTATGGAATTTTTATTTTTAGTTTTTTGAGGACCCTCCATATTGCTTTCCATAGTGGTGGTACCAATTGAGTTTCCCAACAGTTTAGGAGGGTTCCCTTTTCTCCACATCTTTGCCAACATTTTTCTTGTCTTTTGGATAGTGGCCATTCTGACTGGTGTGAGGTGAAATCTCATTGTGGTTTTGATTTGCATTTCTCTGATGATTAGCAGTGTGGAGCATCTTTTCATGTGTCTGTTGGGAATCTGTAGGTCGTTTTTGGAAAAATATCTGTTCAGGTCCTCTGCCCATTTATTAATTACATTATGTTTTTTTAGTGTTGAGTCATATGAGTTCTTTAAATATTTTGGATGTTAACCCCTTATTGGATAAATTATTTACAGATATACGCTCCCATACTGTGAGGTGCTTTTTTGTTCTGTTGATGGCATCAGCTGTTCTCTTAAGCTCTGTATTTTTTATTTTGGTGTGTATTTTTATTCCTGCACATTATGATAAAATTATATGAGGAAACCTGCTTTTTAACCTTAGTGATATCAGAAAGATAATTAAAGCTTTTTTTATACTATTTCCTCTAATATGTTTCATATAGGTTAATAACATGTATCTCCATTTTTATCACAATTCACCACCTTTATTTTCCTTAAAATAGAAAGAAGATAGATTTGATCTTCAACTTATAAATGTAAAATAATTTTATTTATAATATAATTTTACTGATCTTCAAAATATAATTTTATTTATTAATCCCATTTTCTATTTATTTTTTAATTCTCTTCAGTCAGGAAAGTATATATTTTTCAATATCAACTTAGGCATAATTTTTATAATGTTCCTTTAATATTTCCAGTTTTGTGAATTTTGTAGTGACCAGTGAAATGTTTATATAGGTGAAATACTGCATGTTTCCATGTTACATTTTTTCTGATAGGGATCATGTTCATAGTTTTATAATTTCATAAGTACTTTTTTACCTAACAATGGGAAATCTTCTTGTGAAAAGTATTTGTGGAATAAAAGAGCAGTACATATGTTAGAGATTCTTTTTTGACTGAACTAATCTTCCCCACCCTCTTCCATCTCCAGGGTGACTTAAAAGCATTCAGAACTAGGGTAACAATATATTCTTTAATGTTTCAGATCATCCTGGCTTAGAAAACATGGAACAGATTGAGAAATTTCAAGAAAAGGCATATGTGGAATTCCAAGATTATATAACTAAAACATATCCGGATGACACCTACCGGTATCTAGAAGTTGAATATTATTTAATTAAATTCATCTTAAAACTTTTTGTGAATTTATTATTTCATTATTTTCCTCCATGAGTACTTCAGTGTTCTAGTCAACCTTGACCCTTTGAAATAGCTAATGCTATTATATGCAGTAGTACATTGTTGCAAGTTGATTTATATGTAATATTTCATCCAGTTTTTACAGTTTATATAAGAGGAGATTTCAGCACAGAGAGGTTAAGGTCAAAGTCACACAATAAATGGCAGAGACTGACTTACCCAAGTAGTCTGGCTATAGTGCCCAAACTGCTGTCTTTAAATTAAAAAATAGATTTTATTAGTAAAAGGAGAAAAATGTGAGTGAGTTAACAAACTTTAGACTATTTTATAAACAATTTTGAAATTTGGCTTATGATATTTCTACCAATATATTTCTTGCCAATGTCCTTTGGGAAAGAAATTTTTGCTAGATGAAGTCAGTTCTTGAAGAGAGAGAACATTGTAGAAAACCACATGGCTATCAGAGCTAAAGTACCTGGGTCTGACTAGTGACCTTACTACCACTTACTAGCTATATGACCTCGGGCAATTTATTCGTTTTCTCTGTTTCAGTTTCTTTACCTGTAAAATGGATATAATAATACTCACATTTTACAATTAGTAAGAAGATTAAGTTAATATATATAAAGAGCTAAGAACAGTGCCTATTACATAGTAATATATAAATGTATTAATACTATATAAATGTATTTATTAATATGATTAATTTAACATATTTCATCAAACTTGTAAAAGAACATTTTGCATAAAATAATTTTTTACATATATTGAATAATAGACTTATATAAGCCAGTTCCGTTGATAAAATCAGCCTTAGGTTGTTACATCTAATCAGTTTTCCTACCTGCTTCCTGCTGTCTTTAGATGTTGCTCAGCTGATGGGAACAAAGAGGAACTGAGTAATTTGAGCAGTAAAGTACATGGCTACAGGAAGATCACTTGGTCCTGGTTTCATTTGGTTTCGAGTGTTAGAGTTGTAAGCCTTAGTCTAGAGGAAGGATAAACATAGCACAACCTTCTTTTGTTGGTGGTTTTGCTATGATTGCTCTTCAGTTCTTTTAGTTTATTTATACCTCTTTATACAAAATAAACACATATTTAAATTTTTCTTTCTTTTTGACATCCTGCTGTTTGCTGATCTTTGTTCCATTAAGTTCCAGGTGCTTTGATCTCTTTCTCAGTTTTGGGAACTTTTTCTCACTTTTTTACATTTTTAGTTACATAATAAACTATCTTTGGCTAGCAGTTTTGACTTACAGGGTACTTTTCACCCAGATGTGGTCCTGCCTTGAGCCTCACTCGCATAGAAACTGGCAGGGATCATTTTGTTAACCTTTACCACAACCCTGGAGAAAGTGGCTTATACAGGCACACTAAAGCTAGGAGGCAGTGAATCAGGATTTGAACCCAGTGGTCTTGATTCCATATTCTGGGGTCTTCCCAATAATTATTACCATTTCTACCATTTACAGTAATTTTTTGCAAAGCAAAACCAAGAAAACCACTATCATCAAGCTTTGTGTCTCCTGCTAACATAAAATTTACTATTCTTACAACCTCAAATGAGATCCGAGGTGCCATTTTTAAATGTATAATTTGATACACAGTTTAATAACTTAGTTCTGTGGTCTACAAGTGGAGGCAGCATAGGGTAGCAGTTAAGAGCATGGTTTTCCTGTGAAATCTGTCAGATTACATTTACATCTAGGAGATTATCATAAACTGTTAGACTTGAGAATACTAAAGTTTTTATTTTACCTTTGAAAATTTGACCTTTATTAGTCCACAGATAATATACGTGCAGAAATTACTCATGTTTCCACTTAATCTTTTTTTGATTTATAACCTTGTTTCCTCTCCCTTTTTTCACTTTTTAGGTTGTCCAGACTACTACTCAGATTGCCAGCTTTGAGACTGATGAATGCTACCATCACTGAAGAATTGTTTTTCAAAGGTCTCATTGGCAATGTACGAATTGACAGTGTTATCCCACATATTTTAAAAATGGAACCTGCAGATTATAACTCACAAATAATTGGTCACAACATTTGAAAGCTGAGATCTCAGTATAAACTAATTGTTCATTCCCAGAACAGAAGACACCAAATTGAACTCATTGCTTCCAGAACATCTGGAAAATTTGACTGGAAAAGGGTAACCAAAAACCAAGTTGTTTTTATTTTGATTTACTTAAGAAGGATTTTTGAAGTGACTGGGCAGGTAACAGGAATTGGTAATTTCCCTTCCTGGCTTATTTACGTGAATAGGGAATACTAACAATTTATTCTGCCTCATCTTAGTATCTAAACCAAGATCTCTTTATATTTTATTTTATAAAACAAATAAATTAGGCTTTTTTTCCCTCAGAATTGTGTTCTATTCATGTTTTTCATTATAAGTTAGTACACTTAATCATCAGAAACCCCTAAGGAGGACTTCCTTGGAGTTTTCTCTTCCATAATATAATCTGTATTAATTACTGTATCAAAAGAAGATTATTTTATGTTCAATGGTATGATGATAACATTAGAACTACAGGAAATAATTGACTGTATATATTTTTTGTCTTTTGTAAATATCATGGCACCCTTAGCATATATCACTCATTGCTGGCAGTGAGACATAGGCCATTTGTGATCTTAAGACATTTTCAGTGTTGTATATTATTAGTTACAAGCACTTTTTATTTATGTATGTAGCAGATAATTGTTTTTGAGACTAAGATAGGGTTCATGTTTTAAAATTTTTGGTTTATTGCTGTGATTTAAAAGTAGTAGAGACTGACTGAGCCCAAAACGTTTCAGTGTTTCAAAATAGGTATTAAAATTGTTGCTTTTCCATTCCACAAAAGTACCTGGCCTTTTTTCCTCTTTTTCTGACCTACATTATTGCTTCCTGACCCTTCCATGGGTTTTAGCCAGTTTATTTTAAGTCATTAGAAATACCCAATTTGTTAAATAATGGATTTATCATAGCTAATCTATGTTTTCAAGGTGAGTTAATTATTTTAAAGCAAATTGATGATTTAAAAAAATCTTACATTTTTTAATAATATAAAAGAATATGCACTGATTTTCACTATAAAGGTGGAAGAGATCTTTTAAGAATAGTACAAGTATCAATAGCCTTGTTATTGCCACAATAAAAGCATTTTAGACTTCTTGGATGTCTTCCACAGTAATATTTTCCTTAGCAAACATGATACTGTTAAATATTCCCTTGCTCTGATTTCATGATGAAGTATTTTAATATGTCTATCTGTTGAGTAAAAAAAAACATATATGGAGATTTTATTGCACTCAGTACATTTTTTATAAAGATTTTTACAATATAAGAAAACTGAATTTGGGGTGAGGATATGGATTTTACTAATTGCTACTTTATAGTAAATGAAAAGCTTGGAAGTATCAACTTACAGTCTTTACCAACTTACTAAGAAATACCTTTTTCCCTATTTAAAACGTGAGTTTTTTGCAGGTTTGTTTATAATTATCTGGAAAAGCTACATTTAGCACAAAATACCCAAATGGAAAAAGCAGTAGGTTTATACCTTTATAAAATCAATGAAGGAAGCCAAGGATTCAGGAAAATAATTCTTTAAAATAATGTACTAATGGTTATTTAGCATACGTTTCTTTCAGTTATTATTTTCTGATTAAATTTGTAGTTATAGTTATATTTGAAAGTGTTTTTAAAAACTATATTAAAAAATGACCTGCATCACAAATTTCTGTTTCCTGCCAGCATATTTGATTTCAGAGTCCTCTTTCTTTGTTCAATGTTTGGTCATTCATTTGTTCCAATGTTAAGAAATCTGTAGTAAGTAAGCTTTATTAAAGTACTTCCAAGAAGGGATATGTATGGAAAATATTTCTATATCCAGTATTTTAAGATTATTTACACTTCAGTTAGAAAAATTCCAGACTGTTAATTAAATATTGACTGTTAATTTTCTTTCCTGAAATCTCAGTAAAATGACAGTAAAGTGTAACCACACAATGACAAATAAAACAGGAGAGAAGAAATCAATAAGAGAGATCAATAAATTTTTGGAAAACACAGTATAGGTAGGGAAAGACTGACTTGACTGATTTCCAGAACCAAGGAAGCTCTCATCTGAGTGCCTGCACGAGGCAGTGCAGTGAGAAAGAGGCCAGGACACCCTGCAGTTTCCATGGAAGATGCTCAGGACCTGGAGGAACCAGGTGCTCATATTCAGAGATGGTGCTTGGGACATGAAGAAAGGATTGGTTGCAAGTCTATGCAAAAATCATTGAACTGTCTTTCTCTACCCTTACTGAACTCAAGTGACCAATTTCCATCCTTCCACCTTTTTAAGTAGGAGGCCAGAGATTAATTCTCTTAAGAAACTGGAAGATCTTCTCTTGTAAGATCATAGCACTTGTATCAGGAATAACAGAAAGCTTGAATTAGATACAGGGTTGGAAACATCGATTAAGTAAAAATTTGCACTCTGAATGTGAGCTCCCTAGCTGTGTTATCAGATAAGACTTCTCTGCCTGGAATTCGTTCTTCAGAGAAACTAATTGGCCCCAGAGAAAAGATGTCCAGACATTCACTTGGTTGTACCTTAATAATATATATATATAATGTATGGTTTTCATTCAGCTCTTTGGTACCTACTATTAAATATGAACTTTGTGCCAGGATCACTGTATATTTGAGGAAAATAAGTACATAAGAGATCAGGCAGTAGAGGGTGGGGGAAAACATAATGCAGGGATCAGAAAAATATCCACCCCCAAGTATAATTAACGTTTTGAAAGAAAGTAGATGTATGCATTAACTGAGAACAGGGTGCTTTGAAAAGAAAAATTTGAAACAGGAATTGATAGTCAAAGCAATTCATTATAAATGTTGACATATGAAGTTGAGGAACTCACCCTTAAAATATAATCAAAAGATAAAGATATAAAATAAAAGGTAAAATTAGAGAATCAAATTGGGTCCAACATTTTAATAGTAAAGAATTTAAGAGAAAACAGAGAAGACTTAAGACATTATTAACTAATAAAAAAACTACAAAAGGACCTATGTTTCTAGATTGAAAGGATTCACCCTTTAAATGAAAAAAAAATCCATACCGTCCTGAAATCAGAAGAGTATAGTCATAGAGAAGATACAGTATTGCTGCTTCTGTACAGTGGAATAAATACTCTGAAGGCCTTCAATCTGTTGCTGGGCTTGCAAGAAATCTGGCATATGTTGTCAAACCTAAGGTTGTTGCAGGTCCTGGGTTCCACCCTGGTCCTGGCAAAAGCAAATACAAATCTGTGGAGAAAATATTCATAGTTTGGATCAGATGTTGGCACACTTTCTGTAAAGAGCCAGAAAGTAAATATTTTGACAGCAGGCCATACGATGTCTGTAGCAACTACTCTGCTATTCAGCTACACAACACTGTATTGTGCAAAAGCAGCTATAGACAACACATAAAGGAATGAATAAGGCTGTGGTCCAGTAACATTTATGAAGTCAAGCAATGGACTTGGTCCTTAGGGTGTAATATGCTCACCCCTAATTTAGAACCTCAAGATTGTCATAGATTAAGCTAACCCAAATATGAGCTCAGAATTATCAAACTCAGAATCCACTTGAACAAGTCAGAAATAAGCAATACATACAGAAGCCAAACGACAATGTTAGATACTGAAGTTGTGATATCCAGATAACTACATATGATGTTTTAAGAAAAATTGGAATCAAGAAACAAGAAAATAACCAAATTTTAAAACAAGCTAAAACATTTAGAAATGAATTGACTGAAATTTTAAAAATCAATCTATGATGCAAGATGAAGACTTCAGCACATTTAATTCTAACTCCTAAAACTGCATTAAAACACAACAAAAGGATTTTTTCAGATATTATCTCATGAAGACAAAGATAATGGGAGAGAAATGAAAGCCACAAATATTTGAAAGCTGGAAAACAAAGGTTAGTGATATCTTAAACCTGAGAAAGGTGACTTAGCTTGCAGGGATAAAGCTGAGAGGCTAGTGGATTTACACTGCAGGTCCTCCAGAATGCTCTTATATTGCAGCATCTTCCCACAAAGGGAAACAGGAATTTGCTTAAAGTCGGTTAAGGAAACACACACACATGCACAAAAATGGTGAAATGTGAAAGTCTGGCAATACCAAGTGTGAAGTATGTGCAGCAATGGGATGTGAGTTGATAGTGGGAGTGTCAGGTGATAGAACCATCTCTGCAAAGTAATTTTACATTACATAGTGAAATGTAATGTCCATGTATCTGCTTATTTACCCTAGAGAAACTTGTGTGCCAGGAGACATACAAAAATATTCTTGTCAAAGCAAAAAAAAAAAAAAGCTCAAATACTCATTGGCAGGAGAACAGACAGGTAAGTAAATTGCAGTATAATCACCTGGTGGAATATTATATAACACCAAAAAGGAGTAAAGTTATCAATATGGATGAATCCCGAAAATGATGTATGAAAAAAGCAAGCCCAAAAGTATACAAGACTATGATTTAACCTGTTTATTGAAAACAGGCAAATACAGTATACCTTGTTGAGAGGTACTTATATATGCGGTTAAACTCATATTTAAAAAGGAAGAGTATTATTAGTACTAAAATTAGAATGCCAGTTACTTCTTGAGGTGTAGGAGAAGGATGCATACAGGGAGAAGCACACAAGGGACTTCAAATTAACTGTGCTCTAATTCTCTTGCTTTGTTACAAACCACCACCAAAAGTAGTGGTTTAAAACAGTTATTCTCATGAATCTCCAACAGGGCAGACAGGGACAACTTGTCTGCTCCCTGCAGTCACAGCTGCATCAGCTGAAAGGGCAAAAGCTGGAATATTTGGAATCACTACACACCTGGTGGTACTGGGTATTTCCTGGGACTTCAGGTGAGGCTGAAGTCAGAATGCATACATATTTCTCACTTTCTGTTCATAGGAACAGGACAATATGAATGGATTCTGCATATCTCTTTAGGTTTCATTGGCTCTGTGCTAATACTACTAATGTCAAGTTAATGATAAAAATCAGAACAGGATGCTATGAAAAAGCAACCAGGGGAGGAGCCAAGATGGCAGCGTGAATAGGGCAGTGGAAATCTCCCAAAACCATATATATTTTTGAAAATACAAAATATATAACTATCCCTAAAAGAGACCAGAAGATACATTGCAACAGCCAGGCTACATCTACAACTGCGAGAACCCAGCGCCTCACAAAGGGGGTAAGATACAAGCTGCGGCCTGGTGGGACCCAAGCGCGCCCCTGACCCCAGCTCCTCGGCGGGAGAAGAGTTGGAGCAGGGAGGGAAAGGGAGCCCAGGACTGCTAAATACCCAGCCCTAGTCATCTG